CACAACCGGTATTCTTTGCAATGAATGATGTATCCGTGACTAAAGAGAATGCAAAATCAAGAGAAGCAAACAATTGCTACCCAATGCACAGTTCACGATAATATTCACTTCCTGCGATGCCAGGGGCGGATCCAGGATTTGTCCAAGGGGGGTTCTAGTTTTTCCCACCCTACCCACAATGACGAAATGAGGACATACTTACACATGTATAACAAGTTCACACGTTCGCGTTTTCGGTACAGCACTAATTAAAAATGTAGCTAACTTCAGTATCCCTATTTTCAACACTCTGCAGCTAAAACATTGTTGAAGACACGCAGCACAAGGAAGAAAATTTCAATTTCTTTGCCGCAGAATAGCGGACTGGTACTCTCTCCAGCAGCTCGTCTGTAATAATTGTCCGTAATATTGTACTCCGAGTAGCCCGATGTTGACTCCACTGTACAGTAGGTTCCATAAGGCAGGCTTCCTGCATCTTTTGTGTCTCAGTCATAATTGTCCCCAGTTCGGAGAAATTTGATTATTGGACGATGGGACGTTGAACTTGAAGGTGATTTTCAAAGTTTCGCTCTTTGTTTTACCTTCGACACTAGTGTCTGCACTTTTCTTTGGAGTATCACCAAAATTCAACGACAGCTGGTCTTCAGCCTGCCTCTTTTAGACGCTTTGGCGAACTCCAAGACAGCTCGAAAGCACGAGCCGCGACGACAATACAGCACTGCACGGCCACTATTAAGAAACTAGTATTATTTTGAAACTTACATGTACTTTCGAAGTTTCCGCAGCAGCTCAACAAATGCATGCACCTCTTTCTCGGAAGCGAACGCGTAGCTGTACATTCTGTGTAGATCTACTTTACTTTTCTACATACAAGACAACAATGACAATGTACAACGTCATGTACATGTATGGTAGATCTAACTTAGGGCTTAGGTGCACAGCTAGCGGACCGCTCTGGCCTGGGCCGACGGGGCCATAGCATGGGGCGCGCACGTCGCATGCATGAGCATGGGTTAGTGGTCACACCCGAACTATGGTCGGAAAAAATCAGGGGGGTTCGTTCGAACCGCCCGAACCCCCCCCCCCCCCGCCTCCCCCGGATCCGCCCCTGGATGCTGTTATTCGACGTGCAACACTTGCGACTACGAGATATCCACCGCCCGGCATGCGGTAGAATGCAGTCCCCGGGCAGCTGTCATAGAAGGCGACCAAAGCCGACCTCAGTTTTGCAAGACTGCAACCATGGCAACAGCGCAAACCAATGGAGTTCAGCCGTCAACAATGCCTGCAAAGTGCAATGCACGCACATCTAGTGTTTAGCTAGCACACACTACATGTACTACATGTGCTGCATCCAGATGCCGGAGGCACATACGAAGATTGGGAGTAGCGTGCCACGGTCACAGCGTGCGTACATTGCATCGCAGGAAGTGCTCCAGCAAATTAGGCTTACTGCTGTCCACGCACACACACACACGTGTACAAGCGAATAGCTACATAGGGCAAGGGTGAACTGATAAGTCACGATATCTCAAAAAAATAGACATAATAAATTTGAACTGTTACGACAAACAGAAGTGTCGTTATACCCGAAGTCTCATTGTATGTATTACAGTTGGACGGAACTTCGCTCTGGGTATTCTCTCGTTATTCGCGAATTGTCGCAGTCGCTGTGAGCGAAGTTGACTGTGCTAGTATTGGACATGGGCGACATGGGTGCAGGTCCCCGTTTCATGAAGAAATCCTTTGTAGTGATCTTCATGGGTTGTGGAAATGCTGCTGATCCCCTCCTCTTCTTTGCGCTCTTGTAGTACGTAAAACCACCTACTAACAGGATGAGGAGACCGCAACCAATAGCGGCGCCAATTAGACCACTAGAAACGGAACTTAAGCCGCCGGAATTTGCGGCAGCTCCGAATTCCAGGTGACCTGGATGGTAAGAAACGAAACAGATGGCAATACAGGTATGATTCTTGGTCTGTGTGTGTGTGGGGGGGGGGGGGGTCGGGAAGTGTGCGTTTGTGTGTGTGAGAGAGAGAGAGAGAGAGAGAGTGAGCGTGTGTGTGTGTTTGCGTGCATGCGCGCATGTGCGTATGTGACAATAGCCGTGCACACGCGCTACCCAGAACACACCATCCGCAGAGTGCTCTGAAGCATCCAGGGGCTGCCAGAATTCACTGACAAGGTTGTGAAGTTGCATATTTGTATGGTGCTGTGAATCTTTGGTATTATGGAAAGTTTGGAAATCCCCTCGATAGGCGAAAGCTTTCAGGGAATCATTAGACAATGAAAATTACAACAAATTACTCTGTGAACGCTTGCCATCATGAGTTGCGCAGAATGTATGCAAGAGGGAAATGCTAGTGGCACAATATTGATGACATGGTCCTCCCTTTCCACCTAGTCAGTTGTCATAGTAACAACTCGGAGTTTCCTGCTCTCGACAATCTCAGCTTGAACATGAGTTCCGAATTCTTGTTCCCATTATGGGAACGCAGGGGATAAAACTTGGAGTAGCAACGAAACACAATCAAGTTCCAGCCATTATGAAGCTGCGTGCCGGGTATGTGACGATGTACATGCACGGTTTCTCACCTTGATCTGGGAAGCTTGTTGGTGGTGTTATGGTTGGCAGCTCTGACAGGCAGAGAATCCATAGCAACAACAAGAAGAGCGCAGAAGAAATGTGTTCAGTGTAACGTTACAGTTAGTCACAATCAATTTGTCATGACCTGGATAGGACTCCACACGCCCTCTGCCATTTTAACACTGCAATAATTCAACTCATTTTTATAATAATGGACTCGGATGGAGAGCCAAAGATTAATTTATAGAAAATAAAAAGGACCAAGGATTGTTGAGTCACAGGTGTTTTTATTTTTTTACTAGAGCCACGTAAACAAGTCATGTGCGATGTTAGCGTACAATACGAGTGTTCACGCGTCTACGAATTCTACACCGTATTCTTTAATGTTTGGTCGCGAGGCACACATGCCTCTCGATATTTTGTGTCGTCCGCCTGCCGACTCACTTCCTGAAACGCACGAATCTTTTGCGAAAGAACATGTTTCAAAGTTGCGTTTTTCCTACGATTTGGTTCGACAACATCTCGATTCTAGTCAACGTTGTTCTAAAGTCCGTCACGATCGAAAATCTCGCGCTAGCCCATTGAATGTAGGTGACCAGGTTTGGTTACATCGACACCCGCCGCCTCAAGTTTCGCCTAAATTTTTCAAGTATTGGTCGGGACCATGGGAAATTGTAAAGAAACCGACAGACGTTACGTATGCGATCGAACCTCGATTTGAGAGTCCTATCCGCCATCGGCCTTGCACAGTCCATCGAAATCGCCTTCGGAAATGTTTGACGCAAATGGGACCTGCTACACGAACACCGCTTGCTGCGCCTACACGAACAACTCTTGCTGCACCTGCACACACGTACAATACCCGTTCTCGCCCGCCGACTAAATTTAAAATGTTCTTTACCGATAAGTGTCTTTTAATTCGGAGTTTTTTTTGTTTGGTGTTTGTGGTCGGTTGTTTTGCTTCGTTTGTTCTCGTCCTGGCAGTGTCTGCTCTAGGATTGCAGGACAGCCGGGTACACGTGTACCTGGCGCAACCATTTCAACCGGGTCGGAGCCGGGTACACATGTACGTGGCGCTGTCTCACCACGACGACCTGTTTTCCTAGAGTCCTGGAAGCAGGGCCTTTTTTCGCCTCTTTGCTGGATGCTCCATTTCCAAAAACAACACCTCAACGATCAAGCTTGAATTGAGCAAGTGCACACACCGGATAATAGAGAGGTTTTACTTCACGTTGTTCTGCACTACACTGTGAAATTTCACGACAGTGTGGCACATTTTGGCGTCGAAACTCCCGTTCGAACGTTCATGACGTGAGCTGAGGTCAACTCACGTTCGACGTGAACCCGAGTTTTACGGTGTAGTGTAGAACAACGTGAAGCTAAACCTCTCTACTGACTACTTTCACTTCGACGCAAGCCTCTGCATGATCGTCACACATACAAGCAAGAGTACATAACCCCCCGGGGGGGGGGGGGTTATGTACTCTTGATACAAGCCATGTAGTCAGTCCTTTCAAAGTTCGAACGTGTAAAGTACCAACCGGGTCACAGGTGACCCGGTACTATATTTTCAGCTGGGTCCAAGCGCCGCCCAACCGTGTGGATTACCCGGCTCACCCGGCTCTGGAGCAGACACTGCCTGGGTGTGGGGCTTCATTCATCATCCATATAGCGAGCATGTCTCTTTCTCCGGACGAAGAACTGGCAGCTGCCCTCCTGATCCCGCTACCGCCCTGCTCGCCGCCCTCGTCGCCTCCGCCTCCGCCCAAAACACCGCCGCCCCATCCCAACTGCGCCAGGGGCGTGCTTGGCGAGGGGCACAGGGGGCAAGTGCACCCGCCCCCCCCCCCCCCCAAATATTTCGGCGGGGGTTTTGAAAAGTCACCAATGACATGTATGGCGGAAAGCCCAACCTCGCGGGAGCACGTTCTGCAACTGTGTATTGTACATTGTACAGTGCGTATCGGTTATAGTGTGGTCGTATACAAGAATATACTGCTTACAAGAATGAACACTCATTTTTTCATAATCATAACACATATTTTATGTGTATAATTATTCTTACAAGCAGTATTATCGCATAGTAGAAAATATCGGCCCTAAGAATGGATGTTGTGTGGCAACATATGCCAGATTAGCGCAAAGTGTATCGCCTGTAGTAATACAATCTGTGCTCTGTGCATACTCAATACAATAATATTCAACACAAAAAGAGAGTTATGTCCAAGGGAGCATTGGAGAATCACTTTTTCTGTCCAGTCGGACTCTTTCTTCCGACTTCTCTCGTATCCGCTGCTCCACAGTCGCCTAGCACGACCGCGAGTCTGATTGATCCGTGTATCATGTGTACGTGTCCACATGCCAAACGTGCGTGCATATGATATGTCACACGTGCATAATGATAATGTCACACGTGATTTATCGTGTGTAAGAAATATCGGCAATAAGAATCAAATGTCGTTTTTCAAACACCCACGCTATAACCGATACCTACTGTACTAGTATAGTTGTAGTGCAGTAGGGGCCTGGTACAGCTGGTGCGCGGCGGCCTACATGCAGCCAGGCAGTCCCGTACGTACAGCCTGTCAAGTGTCATCATCAGATTGCACGACATCGCGAAAGGATGCGGCCACAGTGGCACACGAACGTCAGCGCTCGAAAGGAAAGAGAACGGAAGGGAAGGCACGGTGCCGTCGACGGATTGGTTTTTAAACATTTTGTAAAGTTTTCATCCTATATTTTGAAAAAATTGATATGATGCTGTACTGTGTTCATTCTTGATGACATACAATTTTTGTAACAGTAATAATGACGTCATATGTACAAATATAATTATGATGTTGTCACCGGTACAACCTTTTGAAAATTGCTGTTGTCTGGAAGTGGTGCACCCCCTGGAAGGGGAGCCGAGCACGCCCCTGTGCGCAATGTTGGAACCGTGGGCCATCTCCCCATGGGGGTCGCCGCCGCAATTCGCCGACTGGGTGCGGCAAGCATCATCGCCGCAGACGCCCATGCTTCCGCCCGCACCACCGACGCCCGGGATTATCAGGCCGGCACGCCTGGACGTCGCGCGTCGCCAACTCATCATACTGTTAGGTTCCTTGCTTGCCTTACCTTGTCCTCTCTCGAACTTCTGAGATTCTCTTCCCTTGTCGTTGTCGACTTGATCCGCTCGTCCCATTGTGACTGTGCCTGATCTTAACAATACCACCACGCCCTCCGTCAGCGGAAGAACTAATCACGGCCATCCGAAATCGACTCAACATACGCACGTACCGACCACCGCGACGACACCATACACACAACCTCCGACGACCATGCCCGCAACCTCGACCACGACCACGACCAATACGCCCAACTCGACACCGATACTATGATGCCGACGTTCTGCCACCGCACCGACTTGCCATGCCGACCATGCCCCGCCACGCGCCGTACCGCCACTGGACTGGCCCTCCACCCAATCGTCGCCCTCGTCACGTGTTCCCTCGTCGGGGTCCGGTCTATGACCACTCCACCCGTTGGTTTGTCTGGTGATGTCCTGGTCCTGATTATCATCTACCACAATTACTGATCGCATGCTTAACAAAAGTCGTTGTAAATGCTTAATCGCAGCGCTATGCCGGGGTGAGGTCCTTGATGTGATTCTCCAGGCATTCCAGCACTTTTCCCTGGCTGTTGACTGTCGCTACGTCGTTGTCTCGCTCTACCGGAGCAATGCGTCCTTTTCGTATTCAACACTTGTACAATGTAGTTCCTTGGTCCTTTTTTCATTTTATAATATTACAACCGTTTCGGCAAGTTGCCATCATCAGGTTCACAAAGATGTGCAAGCTCACAACGGCCAACTCCCTGTCAGTAAGAGCTGGGTGTGAAAAACAGCGTGATAAGAATTCAGCTAATAGCGCTGATGTCGACTCTTGGGATCGGACTTGTCGTGAAAACGACCAAGCATTGAGCTCCAGCAACTCAAAAACTGGACTCCAAAATATTCTAGAGTTCTGTAAGAAGTCGATGAGGAGACAAAAATCGTAATATAAAATCATTTTCTCTGTGCTGCGCTGATGAGTCCACAAAGGACGTGTTGTGTCCTGATCCCCATGCACACAGGCATCCAGCCAGCACAAGTAGATTGGGGTAAAAGCCATGAACAAGAGCATGCGCAGTGAGTGCGTTCGATTATGCACGCGAATTGATTTGCGAATCGATTCATGAATCGATTCGCGCTATTCACATCACCCCATATGAATAGAGTGAATCGATTCCGAATCGATTCTAGGGCTCATGACATGAAAATCGAACGACTTGAATGCATGCGAATGGATTCATGAATCGATTCAAGTGTGTAATCGAACGCACTCAGTGTGATCATGCTAGAACATGCTAGTGCTACAGAAGTAGATATATTACTACTATGTACAGTACACATGAGCATGGCCGTAGGAACCAGTCCGGCAGGCCCGGCGGTCGCCGGACCAATAATTTTCAATTATTTTATTTTATTTTTATTTTTTTTACATTTCAACCTTGTTGATGGCTTGTCGCCTCTTGTACAGGTAGATCTACCATGCATGTATCAGCATGCATATCCTTATTTCTCATATTATTCTGTAGCATTAAAATATGGCCTTTTAGGCCCAATTTTAAAAAAATCCCCGGGGGAGGACCCCCGCACCCCCTCTCACAATTTCGCCGCACCAATATTAAACTGCTTCCTACACCCCTGATGAGTACCTATCTAACAAGAGTACATATATAACAGGACGAAACAGTTCTGTCATCAGATTGAGTGATATGGATCTCGAGTTACACAAACGGCTACTAGTAACTGAGCAGTCATAAGTAGATGCTCTACCAACAGCCGCAAATGGACAAAAGCGGTTAATTACAGGTATAGTGTTCCATAACAAACGTTTTCAAGTGACCGTCTTCCTCTGGTGGTAGAGCATCTACTTATGCTTTGGCTTTATACATCTCTATGTCGTCGGGTATCAAGTCCGTAAGAACCATGATTAGTCCTGCAAGGGATTTGGCACTTTCGTTAGTTGAGCAATCATGGCTTACAACTCATGGCAGAGGTCATTAAGTGGTTGCCGTACGACGACACATTCAGTACAGTCGTCAACTCTTCTAACATCATGTCTCTTCAGTAACTTACCTCTTGCGCAGATGAACCCATCCGCTCGAAACATTCCTTTGCTGAAGTCTTTTTGAGCGGTATCCTTGACAATATCTAAAACGGCTCTCCTCGTCAACAATGTTACAACTCCCGACGAACGAACACTTGAAATTGCGGTCTGGATGAGGAGGCAGAGAAAAGAACACCGGATTACGCAACACCTAGTTTTGACAGTTACTTTGTGGTGAATGCACATTTTCAGTGAATTTAGGATTTTATAATCCATGTTTTATTCTTGTTGATTACTACGTCCAATGTCCGCTTCGCTGATTCTGCTGATTGCTATGATAAAGTTATTGTGTCAGCGTCGCTTATTTCTCAGTGAATTATTTAGTTTTTTTGTTTGTTTGCAAGATCAGGTACTAACTTCAAGCTCCTGTTTTAAACTCATCAATATAGTCAGGATTCAAGAATTTCACTAAACTATGACTTTCACGGTCTCACCCCTTTTTTTTTAAAGGTGTTAGAAACCATACTATTGCTTTTACACTACACAGCCCTCGTTTTGCAAACAGAACGGAAAATGCAACGTCTCTTCAGTTTTACAACCCACATTGCATCCGCGGCTATCTCGTTGCTTTTAACACTTGGCAACCAGGTTCTCAACCGTGTACAAGCTTAGAGCGCTACCCCAGCGATGTCCCAGTACTGCATCAGCGCCGAAAGCTATCTTTCAACGACCTTTGCGATGTATGCCTTCTGCTAGCAGACGCTCGCTGAAGAGAATTGGCCTCAGTCCAGGTTAATAAACTGATACGGAACTACTTGAAGTAGTATGACTACACTACACACACGCACGCACGCGCGCGCACACACACGCACACACACACACACACACACACACACACACACACACACGCACGCACGCACGCACACACACACACACACTGTCCCAATTCCTGCCAAAATCTAAGAGAAAAATGGATACTCGGATGTTGAGCCAGCAATACCACAGGCAGACAGTATTCAGTTACAGTGATGGAGAGTTACTCTTAACTCGTATCCATATGTCCTTTTCCTTCTAGAAAAACTGATACTAGTATCACAAAGAGGACATAAGCTCCAAAAAGTGTGCCACTCTGGACACTGTTCTAGTATGGGGTTTGCCGACAGTGAAACTCACGTCACATGGTGTACTGTTTCCGCTCTACATTTCCAGGCCGTATAATACCGACCAAAGGAGGCAAAAAGTGGCACCCCCCCCCCCCCCCCCCCCCCCCGCAGAAACCTCTAGTACTCAGCGTATGCGAGTCATCAGGCAGATTACGGTAGATATTCGGATTGAGTGCGTGACAGCCTTCGTTGTATGCGGTACAAATCGTATTTTGAAGTTTGGACATACACGAAAAAAGACCCAGGAACTACAAGTTACACTATAGTGTCCACTAACACCACCAGTTACTTGACAATCAGCTCATGCGATAACATTGCATGACACTGACCGACAGTACTGACGTCCCACGACTGACTGGCAATCAGCTCTAGCACGTCTTGGGTGCACACTCCAACAGCCTTCCAACTTCCTTGGTCCTTTTTTCTTTACTATAAATTGATCATCGGCTCTCCATCCGATTCTATCTTTGAACATATGATGTGAGTTTTCGCTGTCGGAGACTCTGTATGCAGAGTTGCACACTCTTGGGAGCTTATATTATACTCTTCGTATAGCTAAACTACATACGATGCAAATTTCTGCCAAAACCTAGGAGAACTGCCAAAATCTAGGAGAATTCCTGCCAAAATCTAGGAGAATTCCTGCCTAAATCTAGGAGAATTCCTGACAAAATCTAGGAAAACGGTTACGGCACTGTGTCACCTACCTTAAAACACTCCGTTCCTTTCAACTTGCGATATTCGCCATGCTGTAGAATGCGGAAGTTCTGTTGCCGGCATTCGCGAGACGCAGGCCAATAGGACACTTGCTGTGTGTGGAAAACTACGTTAAACCCATTGCACAACACTGTCGTAGCTGGAGACCGGAAACAAAAACAAAATGAAACAAACTGAAGAGGAAGTCTATAAGCACGGGACTGCTTCTTTACTTCTTGTCCAGATGATGTCATCATAAAGTGGCGTTTGACATAATGATGTGACCATGCAGTGGGGTTTGATATAATGATGTCATCGTACAGTGGTGTTTGGCATAAAGATAGCATTGTACAGTGGTGTTGGACATAATGATGTCATAGTACAGTGGAGTTGGAAATAATGATGTCACCGTAAAGTGGCGTTTGACGTAATTGTGAGGGTAAAACAACTCCAAAGAGGTACTGGAATTTCGTCCCGTGCCCTGTGGTGTCCAGCCGAGTGCTGCTTGAAGCTGGTGTGGTAATGCCCAAAGAACACAGAACATAGTTCTACCGTATCATGTTTCACTCTCTCCTCCGTGTATATGCACCTTTCATGTTTGTATGCTGCTATGGAGACCCCTCGACAGGCCTTCCAGCCCCTGGGCAATTCTGAAATATAAAAATATATAAACAAGCGTTCTGGAGACAGCAGTTTTAATATAGCTACAAAGACAACTAATTGCACTATAATCATTTCCTATATGTCGACATGTATGTGTAAAATGTTATACGATGATCGCAAGGCACACAACGAAAGGGAAAGAGAGGATTGTTCAGAACTGTTTTCTTGAAATGCTTACAGTACAACTAGCCCACCTTGTAGCTAAAACTGATCTATAAATAATAGAATTGTAGGAAAAGGCCGGCTGAGAATCGACAACATGCAAAACCTGCACCTCAGCATTAGTAGCTTCCACGGGATGATACCAAATACTCTGTTTCCAGCACGCATGCTTCTCCGTTCATCTTCCATGGACTGGTGCCCAATACAGTAAAACCTGTGACTAACGACCACCGCTTGGGACCAGAGAAAGCGGTCTTTAGTGGCAGGTGGTCCTTAGTTAGAGGTTTACACCGCACCACCATATGAATATGAGACCGTCCGTCCGTGCCTGCCGAAGTGGTCTGTAGTACCAGGCTGGTCGCTAGTCACGGTTGCCTTTAGTTGCAGGTTTTACAACTGTCCTCAGTTTCTAGCACGCATACTTGCCCGTTTATCTTCCACGGGGTGGTGCCAAATACTCTGTTTCCAGCACTCATTCTCAAGTTGCCCATTCATCCTCCGCGGCCCCTAGCAAGGACGCAAGCAACTTAAAATGGACCGCTAAAGAGGAGTGGGAGTAGATACTGTAGCGGGATGCATTGAAACAAAGGAGATTGGGGCGGGGCGGGGGGGGGGGGGGGAGCAGTACCCTGCACCAGAATTCAACACAGGGTGGGCAGGTTCAGGGGGCGGGCTAAACTGTGCCCTACATCAGTAGGCAGCCCAGTCGTGGCAGGTCGTGACAGGTCGGAGGAGAGGGAGGGGGGGGGGGGGACCATTTTGACATCAGCAACAAACAATTAATTAAGACTGTAGACCCCACACGCTCTCTTCCATTAACACTGCAATAGTTTAACTCATTTCACAATAATTAAATTAAGTTGCCTTCATTAGGTTGTTGTTGTTGTTGAATTTTATTTTAAGTCACAACACAAACAGGCGATGGCGTCTTTTATACATGCGAGCGACATGACAAATTTGGTTCACAATGATGTGCAAGCTCCCAAACCAGCATTGATAAAGGCCAACTCCCCTGTCAGTAAGAGGGAACAACAAATCATACTCACCATTATACTCCATGGGTTGCTTTTCCCCGCAGGTTGGCAAACACAGATCGAATTGCTGATCACGAATGACTACGGACGCATCGCACATGGAGATCTCAGATTTTTTGCCACGGCACTTGTGAGTCTCACCATCTATTTTGAAATCTGCTTCGGCGCTATCCATGGTCAGCTTGTAATCAGCTGAACAAAACAAAACAAAAATGAACTCATAAATGAACAGTCTCCTCGGAGACAAGAATTTAATCATATTATCTTAAAAGGAGAAGGACACACTTCAGGCTCTTTTTGGAAACATAATTTTGAAGGTTTTCGCGAGTATACTTTCAAGCCTTCCTATCAGGTGAAACACAGGCAAAAGCAAAGAAAACCTTCGAAAATCTTCTACTTCAAGTAGGTGTTTATCAATACCTTTCGACGCCCCTCGGTTGCATATAGCTGTGCGAGTGAACTTACCGGGCAGGCAGACAAAGCCATACTTTTTTGCCTCGGCGTGTATGAAGTTGCGAACGCCAGCGCTGGGATTGTACACCTCGTCATTTCCTTTCGAGTCGGAGAGCCAGACGGGCTGAGGCTGGTCCAATACACAGCCGCGTTCTTGCGGAGACAGGACGCCGAGATAGAGGACACTCATCAGGACGGTGCCGTCATCGCGACACCTCTGCCTTGCAGTGGTAAATGAAGCCACACTGCCAGTGAGATAAGTTGAGTTTTCACACTGCAGTGTCGCTGTAAAAGGGAACATACAAAAGAAAACGAATCCAATCATACAGCGAAAGACATGCAAACGGTGCCTGTGTTCCTGAAAAAACATAATTATTACATTTCAGTGATCACCATGCAAGAGAGAAGTGATTTGGAGGCATCTTGCAGCTTCATCCGTGGACGCTGTGGACGCACTCATTCCCACAGCACTGCAAAACAAACTCCTTTACGTACAACGTTTCGGCAAAATTGCCATCGTCAGGTACGAATGAAACAATGATGCTATTCAGGCCAAATAGGCCACCACACTTCCACACCAACAACAATACACTGAAACCTGTCTAAGACGACCGCTCAAGGGAACTTCAAAACCTGGTCTCTGTCAACAGGTGGTCTCCTTATCCGGGGTCATTTGACTGGAAACAGCATCCCTTGGTCCTGGTTGCAGTGGTCTTCTAGGACAGGTGGTCGCCATATCCGAGTGGTCGCCTTCACAGGTTTCACTGTATTTGAGAACTCATGCTAGCGAATGTATCCCAGGGGCGTCAGAAGGAGGTAGAAAGTGGTACGGCTCGACAGTCAGAGGGGGTCCGGGAGAAACGTCCCCCGGGAATTTTAAAAAAAACAACACTCAAAATACCCTCCTTTTTTCTTTTTTTCTTTTTTTTATATGCCAAACAGCCGTACCAGTCGTACCGCTTCCGACGCCCTTGTATCCTTCATTCTATCTCTGCTGGTCCAGACACATACTGTAACATCGAGAATTTTCGGTGGTGAAATATAATATTTTCGGTGTTGAAATATAATATTTTCGGTGATGTAATATAATATTTTCGGTGATGTAATATAATATTTTCGGTGGTGAAATATAATATTTTCGGTATTTCCCAAAATCAACGGTTCGGTAGCGCGAAAATTTCGGTAACCCAGTTTTCCAGATCCAAAAATGCATTGTGTACACTGTGCGGCATGGCAGTGTTGACGTTTACGTTGCGTTTTATTTTAGGTACAAATTGCCTGTAACCGAAAATAGATCTCCACCGAAATTTTCCGGTCTTACAGCATATCTACATGTGGATACTTGATAGAGAAGAGAGAAGACCACGATGCAGTCCCAGTTGAAGAAATGTGATCAGGTATGAGAGAATATTTAGAAGAAGGAACAGAATGCCCTCCTGCTTGAAAATTCGGATACGATCGCTTTGCGTGGTGCAGCCAAAGACTGTACGCGTGTTGCAGGTTGGACGTTTCAAATTGAGAAGGGAAACAGACTAAGAGAATTTCAAGACAAGAAGAGAGTGAAACATCACGCACGGGTGAGAAATGAACAGTGCCAATCCAGCAAAAGCCGGGCTCTTACAAAGACGACACGTGGGAAGGTTGCGCCAGACGAGTTTTTCGCCGACCATCTGATACCTAGCGGGCGTGTCAACTCCAGCACAGCGCCGTTCAGTGCAATGGGCGTGATACCCATCGGCACATCGCACGTGCTTTGTCGTGGAGTTGATGACTATGCTGCTGCGGTCGTATCCGACGGGGAAGTCCACCGCAACACCTGATAGATATGAAGAGCAGCACAAAAAGAACTGGAATGAGTTTAAAACACTGCCCAATTAAATTAACTCAGCCCATTGTGCAATACCAAATATGGAAGGTATGGGTAATGCATGTGAGCACGCTGGGATCAGCAATGCACTGTTCAATACCCCCCAGACGACCATGCACAGGTAAGAACTATAGAATGAGACAAACACTGCCCAATTAAATTAACTAAGCCCATTGTACAATACCAAATATGGAAGGTATGAGTAATGGTAACAAAAAAAGGAGAAGGACCAAATGTTACGAATTATGACCAACTGTCCACCAACGTAGCCAGATCTTATAGTTATACAGTCAGCCATACCATAATTAAATTGGCTCGCCATCCGAGTATGAGTAATGCATGTGAGTGCGCTGGGATCAGGAATGCACTGTTCACCACCCCACACAGCCATGCATAGGTGGTGGCTGTGTGGGGTGTTTATTATACTAGAAATCACATCCTTGCGCAATGGGCGTATCGTCACACAGGTTAGAGACTATGGTGGCCAAAGCGGTGATTGAGATTGAAGTCATGCAGCAAAGAGAACGCTTGCGTTTGCAATGATGCAGGGTTTTCCATGCTGTGAAGTGGCTGCCGTGGAGCTTGCACAACTTTTATAGGAAGTCTTTAAATGAAGTAGCAATGCTCACCTTAGTCCTAGCTATTGGGCTATGTGAATAAGAATTCTGTAGTGTATCGTGTTTGTCGCCGTACTGTCTCTCTCCGTACTGCCTCTCTCTCTCTCTCTCTCTCTCTCTCTCTCTCTCTCTCTCTCTCTCTCTCTCTCTCTCTCTCTCTCTCTCTCTCTCTCTCTCTCTCTCTCTCTCTCTCATCTGTATTATATGCACATGCTGGTCGGATAATAAATCAGTCCTTGTCATGTCCCGCAATGGACTCCTGCGTGGCTTGCAGGCCGAACACAACAAATTCGGATTCTAATAGTCATGTACATGTAATTTTGTAATTTTGTAATTTTGTAATTTTATATTGTTTAAGGATTCCCCAAAGGCTTTCGCCTATCGACGGGGTTTCCAAACTTTCCATAATACCAAATCTGTAAAAGAAGTGATGAGCAATAGGTGAGCAAAGAAAGAACTGTGACTTACCTTTTGAGCATATGAACCCGTCCGCTCTAGACATGGCTCTGCTGATCACGTTTCCAGCTTCACCCGTGGCAGTGTGTAGGACGCGCTGCTTCATCCACAGTCTAGCCATGCCCGATGAGTTAAGACTGGCAAGTGCGTCCTGGATGGAGCGGAGTCACAAAGAATACATTGCGCTGCTGAGAGTGGTTTCACATCTATCGCTTGAGCATACGGGGACCGGGCCATGTTGGTTTCAACTCTACTCAACCCCTGCATCTATAGGTCGCATGATGGCGGCCATGTTGGTTTCAACTCTACTCAACCCTTGCATCTATGGGTCAAATGATGTCGGCCATGTTGGTTTCAACTCTACTCAACCCTTGCATCTGGATCAAATGATGTCGGCCATGTTGGGTTCAACTCTACTCAACCCCTGCATCTATAGGTCACATGATGTCGGCCATGTTGGGTTCAACTCTACTCAACCCCTGCATCTATGGGTCACATGATGTCGGCCATGTTGGTTCCACTGTCCACAATCATGCCATGATCACTTTCTACACAATGTAGTCACATGACTAAGCTGTAAAACCAGCTCTACTATGATTAACGACAGCCTGCAGGCGATGTAGAATTTCAACTACAGCTACAGCCCCTTCACGAATCATTGATCTCTGGACGTTTCAAATCCGATCAAGTCCAATTAGGCTCAATTCCAATTCTAATTTGGCCAGGTTTGAACCAGCACATCTGTATACGTATCAATGCTAAACCTGGCCGAAAAATAAATGACTTCATTATGGTCCACCCTTTTTGAGAAATGAACACCAAAAACGCCACTTGAAGAGCATTCCATAATGCATAGCAAAAACCATTTTTTGGAAAGGTCAACCATTGACCCATTTTTGGCCAAAGCAAGGTCATCACCTTTTTTCTGGATGGATTGTAGAGCAGACAGCTAGGATAGAAATCTGCAGCTCTTGTTGGCTTACCTTCAGGCAACGGGTCCCGCTCAGCATGCGATGATCCCTCTCCGATAACATGTCAGCGCCCAGGCGCTTGCACTCGTGGAGAGCCGCCTGATATGTGGTTGGAAGCAGGTTGATGCTCATATTCAGCCCGTTGCAGATCAATATCGAAGCTGCCGAGCAGAAACAAACGTCAAAATGTAAACGTCAGTTCCACAAGCTATGTTCCTAAACACTTGCAAAAGTGCTCAAGGCCACGGGGGAAGAGCCAAAGCAAACGTTAGCAATGGAACCAGGCTGAATGAAGCTGCAACTGGCAGTTTCATGGCTATCCGCTGATCACCGGTGTTGTACATGTCCCTATAATCCCGTACTCCCCTGCGTCGTGGATGTACAGAAGGAAGAGGGTGGGTCCGAGGATGCTGCCCTGCGGCGGCACACCAGCCTGGATCCGGTGGGTCAGCGAGGACTGGCTGCCCATGGGGACACAGACGTGGCTGTTCGCGAGGTAAGTCCGTAGCCATGCAAGGAGGGGCCCGCTTATGCCCCGCATGATAGTAATGAGGGTTAAATTGGCCAGGCGATTCAAAGACACCGAGCGTTTCAAGGTAAGCACAGCAAAGACCATGGTAGAAGTGAGTCAGTAACGAATTCTGAAGAAAAGTTGAACCGTGTCTCTGCTAGGATGACGGCTACACCATAGCTCAGTGGTTAGAGCATCACTGGCTACACGCGAGGGTCCCTGGTTCGAGTCCTGGTGGTGACAGTCAACTTTATCTTCAGACTTTTTCCCGTTTGCATCTTTCCCTCAAACCAGTAGAAGCATTTGTAATTATATTCACTGATTTGACGGAAAGATGCAAACGGTATTTTAATCTTTTTCAGTACACCCATCTCGCAACACACGAACAGTCCTGGTTGGTTACACCGCATACAGTAACAATTGTCCAAATGTTCACCGAGGAGGGTATCATCAGGGATATCCCCGACGCTGCTTTCCTGGGTGGAAATTTGGACAATTGTTACTGTGATATACTTGGTGTAGGCAAGGACTGTTCGTGTGTCGCAAGTTGGGTGTGTTGAAAATATGACAAGGCTAAAATGGAGCTCCAAAGTTCTTTAAAAAGAGCATTTAAACACGTGAAGTGTGTGGGTACAGTGAGGGCTGCGTCCCACCCGCCTGTGTGGATTCACAGGAAGTGTGAGTTACGAAGTCTGAAGAAAATGTTGAACAGTCTCTGCTGGGATGACGACTACACCATAGCTCAGTGGTTAGAGCATCACTAGCTACAAGCGAGGGTCCCTGGTTTGAGTCCTGGTGGTGACAGTCAAATTTTTTCTTCAGACTTTTCCCATTTGTCTCTTTCCCTCAAACCAGTAGAAGCATTTAATCTAATAATTTTTATGACTCAGAAGTAGCGACAAACTCGGCCATTTGGAAATAATCTTAGCTGTCCACCTCTCCACATTGCGCTCTTGGCCCACATTCACAACACCACTCCATAGCGAGGAAGTTCGTTCTTGGGTAGATGTTCCATATCCTCCAGACAGCTGTTTCGCTCATTAATGAGGGAAACAGCCGTCTGGGGATATGGAACATCTACCAGCTGTTTCGCTCATCGAGTATGGAGAGGTGGACGGTTCAAATTATTATATAATACACTAAAAGGATACCCATAAGTTTGTCCGGGGCATCTACTATGCCACATTATTGATCTACTATGCCACTTTATTGATCTACTATGCCACTTTATTGATCTACTATGCCACTTTATTGATCTACTATGCCACATTATTGATCTACTATGCCACTTTATTGATCTACTATGCCACTTTATTGATCTACTATGCCACTTTATTGATCTACTATGCCACATTATTGATCTACTATGCCACTTTATTGATCTACTATGCCACATTATTGATCTACTATGCCACTTTATTGATCTACTATGCCACATTATTGATCTACTATGCCACTTTATTGATCTACTATGCCACATTATTGATCTACTATGCCACTTTATTGATCTACTATGCCACATTATTGATCTACTATGCCACATTATTGATCTACTATGCCACTTTATTGATGGAATTCAGAGTACTGGAGTACTGAGGGATTTTCCCTTTTCCATTCCATTAGGACCTAAATAAAAGGTAAGCAGCAGTACCAGGATTCCAATCTGCACAGATCTTTCATCAGCCGCCACACCACTGACTGCGTCAGGCCAAGTCAAAGAACATACTTGATGATCGTCCCCGCCCGCCCCAAACTCGGAGGCCGCCTGGGGTAATTCATTTATTTTCGGAGGTCCAGTCTGTACGTACGGAGACCAAGCAGTTTCGCTTTTTCACGGTAACTTGAATCTGACAGGAACATCAGTTTTGTCCCAAAAAAAATGTCCCAAAACCATTGATCATGACTACCAGGACTCTATACCGGACAGGGCAGGGACTTCCCCTACAGCACTTACAGTTATACTTCATGGGCTGGCGTTGGCCGCAGGTTGGCAGGCACATTTGAAACTGCTTGCCGTGCATGGCGACGGACGCATTGCACATGGTCATCTGCGATCTGGCAGGACACTGCGGGGTTGACCCGGCCATTTTGACGCCTGGTAGAGATGATCCCATGATCTGTTTGTAGTCGACTGGAAAAAACAAAAACAAAATAAAAATGAACACAAGTCAAGAGTGTTAGCAGGGACGCCGGACACGCTATGGTCTCTATGGCATTGACCGCACCACTCCTTGTTCCGGGTACCCTGTGAATCAATAAAATCACTGATATGGGCTCTAAATTTCGAAACTTTTCAGGAGTCGCCCCTCCCCCCCCCCCCCCCAGTAACCTGTGCTCCAGGTGGTGGACACCGTACCACTCCAACACACCTTCTAACATCCCTGGAAATATGGATTCCGGATATTTAGGTGCGAGACTTGTAGAGAGTAGACTGCAGTGCGATAGCCACATACTGCACAGGGAATAGTGGGGAAATCCCTGTACTGGGGAAATCCCAGGTAGTGCAGTGCGGTAACAGCCTACAATTATAGCAGTGCCTTTTTTCTTTCTTTCTTTTTTTTACAAAAGACCACTTCAATGGCAAACATGAGCTGCAGCAGGGAAAGTATGCACAGCATGAATTATGGCAGTGGTGGTGAGGTTTCGGAAGCTCCACACTCCTGGGGTCTCAACTCCATGACCACCTAATAGCAGCGCATGCAAGCAGACTTTTTTTAATTTTTTATGACATTGCACATACCTACGGAAGAAGAGGAGACAAAATGAAGACGAAAGAAAACAAAAAAACAATGAATGGGTGTGTAGGCGCTACATGAGCTGCGCTGGTGAGATGCAGTGGACTCCCCCGACCAAGGGTCTCGGGATTGGCGTACACAGCAAGCACCATGGGAGAGGGGGCGGGGCGAGAGGAATGGCGGAGAGAGAGAGAGAGAGAGAGAGAGAGAGAGAGTGAGAGAGAGAGAGAGAGAGCTTACCGGGCAGGCAGACAAAGTCGTAGTCTCCTCCTTTCGCGTCCATGAAGTCTTGCGCGCCGTCACTGGGGTCAAACACGCTGTTCCTGCCCCGCGCGTTCATGATCCATACGGGACTGGGCCGATCCAGGACACAGCCCCGGTCTTGCGGGGACAGAGTACCCAGATAGAGAGCACTCAGCATGGCTGTGCCGGCATCGCGACACCGCTTTGCTGCAGCGGTTTCGGAAACGAGTCTGCCAGTAAGGTAGGCTGAAGCTCCGCACTGGACTGTGTCTACAAGTAGGTGAAACACAGAGAAAATGAACGATGTCATACAGGGAATAATATTTCTTGCAAACTGAAAAGTTAGGGGCCGTCCGGGGTTACCGATTGTTTTTACAAAACGAAAAGTTTTAGTATTTTTCAGCCCCCACCCACCCACCCACCTTTTCTGCAGGTAAAACGAATTCCAATAAAATATTGATGTCAATTTTCGACACCCAGACGTAACTGGGCATTCTCCATCAGCATTCAATAATTATTTTCAAAACGAAACTCCGTCAAACCCACCCACCCACAAACGAAAACATTTCGTTCTGAAAATATTATTGGTAACCTTGGACGGCCCCTTATTGTGATTCCATAATGCATGTTTGTCAAGGTACGAATAATATTGCAATCTTCAACAGCAATTGTGCACATGACTAGAGACCTATTGACACAGAGACGAGCTCTTCCTGGCTATTATGGCCCAGGATATCTGGATTCACCGGGTGTTTGCAGGTGTTGTGAGTCCCCCCCCCCCCCCCCCCCCCGGAAGGGACATGATTTTCTTTATGTAAAAAATAATAGGGGGGGGGGGGAGAGAAGAGAAGAGAGAGGGAGAGAGAGAAAGAGAGAGAAAGAAAGAGAGAGACAGAGTGAAGCGGTGAGGAATATTTTTATGGAAAGAAGAGAAAATGTCCAACCCAAACCACAGACGGCCATCGGCTACACCACGCACAACGACTGTTTTGCAAATTCTCACGGAGGACGACATTGTCATCCTGGGTGAGGACATCATCATCCTGGGTGAAATTTTGGAGACCATCGCTGTGCGTGATGTAGCAGAGAGCTAGAAAAGAAGAGAACCTAATCGAGAGATGTTCGGGACAGGACAGAGATATCAAGACGGAGAAGAAACGAACCAGGAAGAGAGAAAAACAACACAGCTCTTACAAGGACGACACGTTGGCAGGTTGTACCAGATTAGTTTTCCGCCCTCGGCGCGGGACTTCGCAGGAATGTTTCCAGCACCTCCAGCACACGGGGGACTTCTGCAGTGGGAGTAGTGCCCATCCGCACATCGGACATTGCCTGTCGTGGAGTCGATGACGATGCTGCTGCTGTCGTATCCGCTCGGAAAGCCGGGAGGACCAGCCGGAGCAGCTGAGGAATGCAAGGCAACACCAGAACACTGGAATGAGAAGAACGGCAACTGCTGAAGTCCACACATATACCCCGATCAACTTACTGCCAACAGAGCAAAGCAAACACTCATAAAACATATTCCAGTGTTTCCTCTGTAGTGCACTGCAGGATCAAGGTACACCCTGTATGGGTGGGGGGGGGGGGGAGGTCTTCAGGCTGGATAGTATGTAGACTGTCAATTTAATAACAGTCTAATCAAGACTACCATAGGACCTGAACTGCCGACTTTGTCATAATGAAATCATGCTGTTCTTTTTGTTGCAGCTACCACTGCTGTTGCTGCTGTTGCTAGTACTGCTGCTGCTGTTGCTAGTACTGCTGCTGCTGTTGCTAGTGCTGCTGCTGTTGCTAGTACTGCTGCTGTTCCTGGTACAGTCAGACCTCGCTTAAACCGCACACATCCGTTTTCCACAAAAAAATATCCTGATAGGCGAGTGAACCGGATAAGCGAACACGCACACTGTATGTATGCATGATATCTGCTGCAAATCGGTAACCAACGATTTTCTTCCGGATGGCGAGGGATCCGGATAAGCGAGGTCTGACTCTACTGGTGCTGCTGTTGCTCCTGCTAGTGCTATTTCTGTTGTTTTTGCTGCTGCTGCTGCTGTTGCTGCTGCTGCTGCTGCTGCTGCTGTTGCTGCTGCTGCTGCTGTTGCTGCTGCTGCTGTTGCTGCTGCTGCTGTTGCTGCTGCTGCTGCAACTGACTAAGAACAGTCCTAGGTGAGTGGGCTATCACGGTAAAGAGGAATTGTATCTCATTCACTGGTCAACATCACATCACATCCCTGCACCACGCACCTGTTGAACATATGAACCCGTTCGCTCGGCTCAAGGTTTTGCTGAAGCCTTTCTGAACATCACCGGTCACTACATTGAGAGCATTGCTCTTTATCCACAGTCGAGATACACCTGCTGGACGCAGGCTTGTCAGGGCGTTCTGGATGCAGCAGAGGACAACGAGAGAACAATTGCCTAGTCCCATGTTTTAGACGGGTAGACAGTAAATACTGCGTGCGGCACAAGGTACGCGTTTTAAAAGTAATGAAATTTGTTTCTGCTTTTCAAACAGGTTCAATAGGCTTGTTTTTGTATGTGAAAATAATATTCACGCTACACCAGCGGAAAAGCAAAATTAATTTAATTACATTGAGAAAAGACCAGTCGGCAGTGGACTTTCCTTCAGTGAGGCACGTGTTCTGAATTCCTGCTGAAATCTGTGTGTGGGGAGAGAGGGGGAGGGGAGAGGGGGGGGGGAGGGGGAGGGGGGAAGGGAGGGGGATCTTCACTCTTCAGCCCCGTTTTACTTACCACCATGCAACGGGTCCCGTTCAAGAGCTGATAGTCGACCAGGCGTAAAATACTGGCATTGTGGCGTGTGCATTCCTGGACCGCGGACTTATGCGTGATTGGCCGTACGTTGATGCTCATAAAGAGGCCACCACACGTCACTGTCGAAGCTGACGAGAAGAAACCAAAAAAGGAAAAAATATATATAATATAATCTTATGGTGTTATACTGTAAAAGCCATTATTCTAACGAGGCGCATATTATAACGATTTCCTAAAATTGACTGGTTTACGTGAACAAAAGGTAACGATTCGGACTCATTCTCAACGCTCAATAGCAACAGTATTGTATCGATTTCCGTGTAACGATTTCTATTTTAACGACAGATCTCTCCTCGCTAACTCGTCAGAGTTAGCACTTCGTTATATTATGGCTTTTACAGTGATGCCCATGGGGCAAAATATTGGCCAAGTTATTTATGTCATGACCCGGACTCAACTCGTCGTGAAAGCGACCACGCAATGAGATTAAGCAGCCAAAAGCTGGGCTCCGAAATATTCTAGAGTTCTGTAAGAACCATGAGTAGTCCTGCGAAGGATTTGGCACTTTCATTAGTTGAGCAATCATGGCTTACAACTCGTGGCCTCGAGTCACAAGTGTTGTCGTACGGCGGCTACACCTTCAGTACAAGTCGTCAGCATTGTACTCACTACACTGTTGAGCTTGAGGGGACCCTGCTTAGTCCTGCAAGGGAGCTGATGTCACGACGTTGACATGATGTTCAACGTCATGAGATTATTTGCAGTACACGTCATAGTTTGTGTTCTCTACCCCGGTTTTGTTTCCGCGTTCCCACACCGAAGCTGGGCCGCGTGTTTATTATTTCTACTGACTCACTCACCTCTTGGCGACTTCCTCCATGTTTTTTCCTCCTTTTTTTCTCTGCGCAAGCGCCTTGCGCTTTAGTCGTCGTCTTCTTTCAGTTCACAGCAAGAACAAGAATTATTTACCTCTTGTGCAGTGTCAGTCAAATTCAGTCAAATCAAGCTCTCCCGATCCCAAGAAACTGCCTGACGTGTGCACAGCTGATACCTTTGTTAGTCGAGCAAGCAAGGCCCCTCTTCTCGCGTCATACGACGTAAAGGGTCCTCCTGCAAGTGCTTCGCGCACTGCGGACTCCGTTATCCCTTTTTGGGAGAGGTCGCGGCTTGACCGTGAAGCGCCCTACGGGGTAATGAGAGGGAAGAGCCTACGGGGCAGAAGATGAAGGGTGACCCAATCAAGACACCGTACGAAGGCGGCACGCTCTAGCTGCAGCAACATCCGACAGCGTACTCCAGGCTCCGTCGCACGATCGACGTACGAATAACCTCGGAGATCACTCATATTTGTAACACTATCATGTAATGTGGGTGAGCGAGCTCCCCGAAGCTATACTAATATTTCCTACTAATTATTATATCACAATTATACTATAACCAAAATCACATAAAAGCCGCCTTCTTCCAACGAATAAAAGTATCTTCTGATCGCTTCCCTTCAACCTCTGACTACCTTGTGTGAGCCGGAAAACAGGTGAGCTACTTATCTGCTTGAGTCAACTATATTGGTTGACGACCTGGTGCCACTAGATGGATCACCGGCCATGACATTTGGTGCTGTGACCAGGATCAAGCGATAATGCTATAACACTGTTATGTGTGTCTCCTTCTTGAACAGTGTTGAGAATGGCTGACGGACAGCAACAGCGTGGCGCACCCGAGGCGCGACTTCCGCGACATGCCGCGCACCAACAGGAATTGATCGTGGCATTGCAGGCAGGTGCCTCGGCACTGGAGGCCCTGCGCCAGCACTCGCATGCTCTGAAGCTCCGGGCTATCGCCGGCGGACTGACGTCCCTATTAATGGCCCTGAAGAAATTCTCGGCCGCAATTGAAGAGGGCCCTCCCCCGAAACGACCAAGATTCGCAACGGCGGCAACGCCTCGGAATCGTGTTCGTGACGACGCCGTCACTGCAGCTCGAGACGCCGCAAAGGCTGAACGTGAACGCCTGACGGCAACGACCGACGCGGCCGCCGCCGACGCCGCCAGCTTGGCCTCGGCCGAAGCCGAGATATTGTCATAACTAACTAAATATTAGTTACTTGAAGATGGCCCTTGAGGCGAACTGGAACAAACTTGTGTTTTGTGTGTCAAAGCATGAGGGTTGATATTGGACTAGTGGTATAAACTAGTTCCAAGGACTGCATGTACAAGTTAGTTAGTCTAACCAGACGCACCCCAGCATGTTGCGTAGCTCCACACCTCTGGGCTCTTGAGTCCAGAATGGGAGAAATCAGACTAGAAGTAAGTTGTACTCATAGTCTGACTAAAACCAGCGTAGCCTGGCCAGATGGGGTCAGCAGGCCAGGAACGTCGGTTCAGAAAAACTCCTACGGGAAGTAAATGAGGTGTGACTCGTCACACCTGAGCGGTACTCGAGGACCAGTAGACCCTCTACGGTCACTTGGGTTCACAACATTGCACAGTGTACTGCTGACACAGTGACTGGCGACAGTCCACATTTAGATTGTGTGCGCAGGCGCTGCGCAGGCCGCGTCACGGCGCCGAATGCGAACTGGCGCTGACACGTCAGCAGCCCAGGGATAAAAAGAGACCGATGTGGGGTTAGAAATCATTCCACCTTCGGGTCTGCACTAAGAAGCTTCACAGCCTCTCCTTCAAGCCTTGCTTGTCTCTCGTGCTTATTAGCATTTGTAACTTGCAATCCTTTGCAATTATCATGGCTTAAAACCGGCCTGCGGCTGGTGCCAATGTCGCTGCTGCAGCTAATGCTGCTGGAGGAGCAGCAAATGCTGCAAATGCACGGCCTTTCATTATGCCGGAAGCTTATACCGGCCACGGTGATTGGTTGGAGTACCTTGAGTATTTCAACCTTTGCGCCGCGGTCAATCAATGGAATGATGCGCAGTGCGCACAATTCTTGGCAGTCCGTCTTCGTGACGGGGCGCAAAAGTTTCTGGGCTCTGTCCCAGCTGCAAGGAGAGCCGTTTGGGCCGACCTGGTGGCGGACCTCACGGACCGTTTTGCTCCGGCGGGCGCAGCACGCCAGTACAAAGCACAATTTCGCACCCGCAGGCGGCGTGCGAATGAAGACTTCGGCACCTTGCGTGACGAATTGCATAAATTGGTGGGACGGGCGTACCCAACCATGCAACCTGCCTTGCAGGACGAACTGGTCCGAGATCAGTACTATATTCTAGTTTGGCTGATTGCACATATTGCACCACTGTCTGTAATATAGAAATAATCCTTACGCATTCTTGCCGCTGTATACTTTTGATCACATAATGTAGCATATATAAGGAGCTGTTTTGCTAACATTCATCCTCGATCCGGGGAGCTCACTACTCCTCTCGATTCTGAGAGAGTCACTCCGACTCTCTCCTGCTTGGGGTCTTTTGACTCTACACACTTGATCTTTCGATCTAGTACTGCAATGGTTCAAATAAACACTGTTCAAGTGGAATTAGAAACCTGTCGTTCTATGTGAGCTAGCAACTTGGATGGCGACTATATTGGTCGTCTACCTGGGTAGCCACTAGACTGATCTAAGCCAAGTCACAAACCCGCCAAGCGCGGCCATGACATTATTTGGTGCAGCTGAGAGCCTGTGGCCGGAATGGCGGTGTTTTCAAGTGCTTTTACAGTAGTAAAGAAAAAGGACCTAGAAACTACAGGTTACGCTATAAATTTATCCTTGGCTCTCCATCCAAGTTTATAATATAAATCAGAGCAATTTTAAGAGTACAATCGATGCAGCCATGGCTACACAACACATATTTAGTTCTTCATCTCTTATTGAGAGTCTAGTAGGATGGCTAGATGAGAAGGCAGAATGCCCGTGTATCTAGTGAAGTGAAATATAAAACAAACAACAATCGTACATTGGGCCTGCTTCATCACTGCACGACCATCACTCCATATAACAAGCAAATAGTGTGATCCGATGGCCGTCTGATGGGTATTATTCTAAACATGAAACTTAGAGTTACGGAAAGGAACTTTTGGTCTCTGTTGTTTCGTGTGTCAAGCCTGCGTCGTTACTGTCAGTCTACGAATTTTCGGCCCGTTCAAATTTCAGCCTTCCAGGGCTAAAACACCTTTCGGCCGAATTAAATTTCGGCCTGTACTGCTGCTGCCTGTATACGCAGTCACACTGGACCTTGCAAAAGCAAAATTTCGGCTGCATTAAATTTTCAGCCGCATTAAGTTTCAGCCAAATATGCCCAGAGTGGACGGTTCGATGGACTTCTCGTGTGCTCTGGATGGCAGCCGTGAGTCAGTCAAGTGAGAATTCAAGTCGTCAGGAAAACCGCGAGGGAGCATGTAGGGAGCAACACACAATTCCCCAAGTATCGCCGAAGTCGCACCAACCTCTTCTTCATGCCCAGGCTGAAAGTAGCCGAAAATAAATATGAGCCGAATAGTTGTTGTTGTGTACAGGTTGACTGTATGTATGGGACATATGGTTGCAGGATGGGTGCTGAGCATGTGGGCCTGCTGCATTCAGGACATTCTACAGAATTCACTTCACGCTAAACAATACACGACACGGCATTGGCTGAGGGGGTTTTCCCGTTGCACCCTTCCGGTCAAACTGATGAATATTGGCCGTAGAAGTGATCATTTTGACTTCAGAAAAAAACCGAACACTCACGGTTAATATGGTAGGTCGGTTGGCTGCCGCAACTTGGCAGACACAGCTCAAACTGTCGCCGGCCAACAATGACAGACGCATTGCACGCTAGCACCTCAGATCCGACACGGCACGCAAGGTTTGCACCGGCCGTGGACACACTCGGCGCCAATGTAGCCACGAGCTGTTTGTAATCAGCTGAACAACACAAAAAAATGAACACACACACAGTCATGTCTGGCGTCGTCGTGTTCCAGATCTCAGTGCACACGACGAGTACCCCATACTCTTCTCTGCTGAATCGCTTATCCAGGTTATCTAATCTTGTTCTTAAGTCTTTTCTCCCTTTCCAGCATCATCATAACATTGGGCATGATAGCCCGTTTGACTTGCGATGTAAAATTAAAACAAATACAAAAAAAACAAAAAAACAAACTTCACTCACTCTAAACCAGCCAACATCGCAGTATGTTATACTAATTTCTTCAAAAGGATGATGTGGGGGTTTTCCGTAAATAAACTATGTGAAACAATGCCTGGAAACACTTGTATAAGTGTTACAATACTACAGTTGTGGCAAGTGAAATCCGACACTTGCCATAGGGGACAGCGCCACAAATGGACACCAATGATGTAATGCACAGCACCTAATTTGTACTATAGAGCCGTATGCATCCCGAACAGATCGAAAGGTCACAGCGTAGATACACACAGTTCACAAACATGGTACACATAAGGAGTATTGGTATCCAATCCCCATTCATTTTTGCCAGCACCTTTTGAACCTTGACTGTGATGAGTACGAGTTTTGTCACCAGACAGATAAAGTTGTATGTAACACATGTACTGTACGTATGCAGGGCTACGGGGGCTGCAGACTGCATGGTGCAGTCCCTTATGCCAAGTGTCGGATTTCACTTGCCACAACTGTAGTAGCTATGCCTGTGATGGAACTACTTACTTGGCAGGCAAACAAAGCCATGGTCTCCCCCTTTGGGACTTATGAAGTCCTGCACATTAGCACTGGGATCGAAAACCCTGTCCACTCCGCTCGAGTCCGACAGCCAGACGGGACTGGCCCGATTCAGGACACAGCCACGGTCTTGTGCTGACAGAGCACGCAGATACAGTGCACTCATCAAGGTGGAATTAGCACCACGACACCTCTGCCTTGCAATGGCGGCTGAAGCAACGCTACCAGTCGGGTACGTTGAAGTTCCGCATCGGATCGAAGCTGCAGTAGACAAGTTACAGTTGCAAAGACAATGAATACGCAACGCAGGAGAAACACCACGTGTAATCCGTCACTGCACTGCTGAAATGCAACTACAGTCCACTTCGCTTATAACGACACTCGGCCGGCCTGGGCATCATAAAAGTGTCCTTATTCGCAAAGTGTCGTTATCACTCCCCCTCACGTGACCGCGGACTCCTGCATATACACTCACACAATAACCACACAACTGTTTGGGGATAGCGCGCTTATTGTATTATGCCAAACTTGACACGCTGAGTCCAGCTTGACTCAGCTGAGTCCCTAACTGCTATTTACTGCTCTAACATGAAGCCGTGCCTGGAAGAAGGGAAAGAGCGAAAAGAAAAAAAAATTCTGGCCTTCTGCAAGCAATAGCAAGTAATGAGTGTCGGCTGTGTAAGGTCGCACAACCGTGAAGTCGACCGGATGATGGTGAGTGTCCGGCACACATCTTGCTCTGCTGCTCCACATCCCTGATACGCGTATACGGTGGTGTGCTTCCCTCGGCATCCGGAAGAAAATCGCTGGTTGCCGATGTGCAGCATACCAGGGTTCTAGCCGGGTCAATATAGTAGGGGGGCGGCGGGCATGGGAAAAAGTTACCCCATGACCCATTTTTTTCCACTGTCCAAAATTGTCTTGCCATGCAAAATGCAACATACAGGGTGAACCCCGACTTCACCCCTCGCAATGTACCTTTATGAACCCTCTAGTAGTGACTATCGACTGTATTTTTGTTGAATGGCATGAAAAAACACAAAAATCGGAAAATGAGTAGGGGGCGGCACTTTTTCACAGGAGGGGGGGCGCAAACGGAGTAGGGGGCGCTGCGCCCCCTACCCCCCTTTGGCTAGAACCCTGCATGTGTTACGCATACAACACAACCGGACCTCGCGATCCGCACACCGGTGCATGATTATGTGTACAAACCGGTTGAACTGTGTACAAAAAGCTTCACCGTATCCAGTTGCACGTGGCTTGCAGAGGCTAGAATCAGGGAGTTGTACAAGAAAATGAGGGCCTTGGCCTGCTGGATGCATGTGGATAGCACTCAGTTGCATGCACTTGTCATTTTTCTCGCTTGTTTTACATACTGTGCATGCTAGTTGTACTGCATAATCTACATGTCTACATGTATGTACGATGTCACTGCTTTTGATATACCACGTGCATATACAGTATGTGTGTTCAGTTATCCAGTTCCCTCGCCTATCCGGATATTTTTGTGGAAAACGGATGTGTGCGGTTAAGCAAGGTTTGACCGTACTGCACTGCTAATGAACATTATTGACGAAAAGTGGAAAACCTAGTTTTGCATGAATTGGGTGGGTTAAGTTTGTTTTTCGAAATAAGGTCCCGACCATGGCCTGACCGGGTGCTACGGCCCTGAACCAGGTGCTATTGCCCTGAACCGGGTGCTACGGCCCTGAACAAGGTGCAACGGCCCTGAACCGGGTAGACTGAGAAGAAAACAACCGTAGCTCTTACAAAGGCCACACGTGGGAAGATTGCTCCAGGTGAGGGTACTGCCGTCCCTGCGAGCTCTAGCGGGAGTGTCCGCAGCACCGCCTGCACAGGGCGGTTTGCTGCAGGCAGTGTAGAATCCCTTGCCACAGCGGAACGAGCCTGTCGAGTAGTTGATTACCACTCCGCTGCTGTCGTACCCGGCTGGAAAGTTGGGAGAGCCGCCTGACAAGTACAAGCAAAACAACAGAATTTTTTGTTTACAGAATATAATATCAAATTGAGATGTGCAGAGGCAACGGAAGTCCATAATAAATTCGCTAACTTGTACTCAAAGTAGGTACTGGAGATCATGACATCGTTATGCATAACCTTTAGAGATGTAGGATAGTGGAGATGTAGGATAGTGGAGATGTAGGATAGTGGAGATGTAGGATAGTGGAGATGTAGGATAGTGGAGATGTAGCATAGTGGAGATGTAGCATAGTGGAGATGTAGGATAGTGGAGATGTAGGATAGTGGAGATGTAGGATAGTGGAGATGTAGGATAGTGGAGATGTAGGATAGTGGAGATGTAGGATAGTGGAGATGTAGCATAGTGGAGATGTAGCATAGTGGAGATGTAGGATAGTGGAGATGTAGGATAGTGGAGATGTAGGATAGTGGAGATGTAGGATAGTGGAGATGTAGGATAGTGGAGATGTAGGATAGTGGAGATGTAGGATAATGGAGATGTAGGATAGTGGAGATGTAGGATAATGGAGATGTAGGATAGTGGAGAGGTAGCATAGTGGAGAGGTAGGATAGTGGAGATGTAGGATAGTGGAGATGTAGGATAGTGGAGATGTAGGATAGTGGAGATGTAGCATAGTGGAGATGTAGGATAGTGGAGATGTAGGATAGTGGAGATGTAGCATAGTGGAGATGTAGGATAGTGGAGATGTAGGATAGTGGAGATGTAGGATAGTGGAGATGTAGGATAGTGGAGATGTAGGATAGTGGAGATGTAGGATAGTGGAGATGTAGGATAGTGGAGATGTAGGATAGTGGAGATGTAGCATAGTGGAGATGTAGCATAGTGGAGATGTAGCATAGTGGAGATGTAGCATAATGGAGATGTAGCATAGTGGAGATGTAGCATAGTGGAGATGTAGCATAGTGGAGATGTAGCATAGTGGAGATGTAGGATAGTGGAGATGTAGGATAGTGGAGATGTAGGATAGTGGAGATGTAGGATAGTGGAGATGTAGGATAGTGGAGATGTAGGATAGTGGAGATGTAGGATAGTGGAGATGTAGGATAGTGGAGATGTAGCATAGTGGAGATGTAGGATAGTGGAGATGTAGCCAAGGGCGTCGGAACCGCACCGGCCGGGGCGGCCATGGCCGCCCCACTTTTTCGGCCGTATTTTTTTTTTTTTTTTTTTTTTTTAGCACACTGCAACAAAGCGCGATGATCTCAGCGCAAACGGGGCAAATCCTTGTCCCCAATCGTGGTTTGTTGCAGAATCAAAAGTCCATGTACACTGAAATGGCACCAAATGCCTGGGAATGCTTGCAATTGGCTTCAATTTTTGAATTTTTTTCCCCGGGGAGGGTAATGTTTGTCCCCGATCGTAGCATCTTCTTGGTTTTTTGCAGAATCAAAAAGTCTTTCATTGTAGTTACCATATGCCCGGAAATGCTTGCAATTGGCTTTAATTTTTGAAATTTTTTTCCCGGGGGAGGACCCCCGCACCCCCCTTCCATGGCCGCCCCACTTCCAAACTCGTTCCGACGCGCCTGGTAGCATAGTGGAGATGTAGGATAGTGGAGATGTAGGATGGTGGAGATGTATATGATAGTGAGGGTGCAGGTGTAGAAGAGTGTAAATTTAGGATCTTGTAGATGTGGGGTAGTGTACATGCAGCCCAGTGCACATGTAGCATAACTTGATGCACATGTATAGGCATGTAACATAATGCAGATGTAGTTGGGCACATGTATGATAGCTAGTGTAGATGTAGGAGTGCAGTGTGATGTAGTATAGTTTAGAATATGTATGATAGTGGAGGTGTAGAATTGTGTAAATTTAGGGTATACAATAGTCATGTAATAGATATGTGTTTGTGAGAGGGAAGGGGAAGGGGGAGTAGTGCACATGCAGCATTGTGCAGATGTAGATGTGAAGATGTATGATAGTGAATACGTACATGTAGCAGAATGCAGAATTACATGTAGATGTAGGATAGGTTAGTTGTAGCAAAGGTACAATTTTCAATCAGGGGAGATGTGTGCCAGTGCCTACAACTTGGAGTAGTGTGTCGGCTGGCATCGTTTCCAGGGGTCCATTGGAGAGTGTTACTCCAATCTAGTTTTGGTTTGGTTCTTGTTTTTTCCTTTCTTACTCTTTTTTCTTCCTTCCTCTCTTACCAGTTTTCCCACTGATCCCACGTATCTCATCACTCAAGCCAAAACAGGAAACCCGCTCGACAGGCAGACAGCCTTTGCGGGGGAATCCTTGAATAAATAAATGAATAAATTACTGGTGGGGAGTCACAGTTGAACAAAGCTATCAACTCACGATTGCACCTGTAGCCGCCCCCCACCGTGTTCTCACAGTACTGGCCTCCTGGGCAGATATCTAGGTCCTGGCATTCATCTACCTCTGCACAAAACACACAAAGTGAATGCAGTCGGTCAAGTCCGGCGCGCCGGGATTCTCTACATAGCCTATACATGTAGCTGCTGGGAAAGGAAGCGGCGCTTCAAACTCTCAAGTCTCGTAGTGTTCAGGCAAAAAGCAAAGAAGAAAAAAAGGCTCCACGTTCTGGTATGCCGCGATACAGTAAACACCTGGTTTAAGCGACCACCCCACGTTGCAAGCAAAACGGTCGTTAAAGCCAGGTGGTCTTTAGAACCAGGTCCCACGGTGTCTGTGTAGAGCTGTGGGTGCATGGAAAGACGGTCGTTAAGACTGCGGCGGGTGGTCGCTAAACCCAGAGGTCGCTTACCCCAGGTTTCACTGTACTTAGAAGTACAGTAGTTCTTTGGGAGCATGACTGAACACCACAAGCTGTTTGCCAAACAAAGGACCATGACTAAAATCAACCTTTACGAAAGGTGAACTCGGAACTAACTTACCCACTACGCAAATAAAACCATCCGTCGTTTCGTTGGAGGACATCGCAATAACCTGGCGGCTTTCTGTTACCAGATTGAGAATGGCGTATTCCTTTCCGGGATTGCGAAACCAAACACTAGGTTTGCCGGCGGTGACCAGCCGATTTTTGATTTTCTGCATGGGTGGGATGAAATCGAATTACAGGCGAACAGAGTTAGATACTGCCCAGATTAAAAAAAGTAAAGTAAATTATCGTATCCGTTCCCGAAGGGAACTCACGACGGCCGCTAACACCCGATAAACCCTAGCGGCAGATGCAGCGCCTAACGGTGGGGGTGAGTGGGTAAGTCTCACAACCACTGGCACAAGTGCCGAAAGCGACCCCATTAGCTGCATTTGCTCTGAACACCGCTCTGAGTACTGAAATACAACTTTTGGGCAAGAGCCCACCTCAGGACAAAACAATAAAACTAAAGACGAACAGGATCAGATGTGCTAGAGGGATGCAGTAGCAACGTGATAAGCCGAAGACGGTGGGGAAAATATTGGCTCGCATGCCGCTGGAGTATACATGACTGTGTGTGTGTGTGTGTGTGTGTGTGTGTGTGTGTGTGTGTGTGTGTGTGTGTGTGTGTGTGTGTGTGTGTGTGTGTGTGTGTGTGTGTGTGTGACGCGCGCGCGGCTCATGAACTTGACATGGCCCCGACATTTGAGGAGGTGATGGCTGCGATGCGGAGGATGAGTAGGGGCACGGCTGGTGGCTCGTCAGGTATTGTGCCGGAATTGGTGCTGGGTGGCGGTCTTGCTCTCCACCGGCGTATTCATTCTCTGATTTCCCAGATTTGGGCAGGTGGCTCCGTTGTTTCTGAGTGGCGCGACGCTGAGATTGTACCCATACCGAAGAAAGGCGACCTACGGTCATGTGACAATTGGCGAGGCATCAGCCTGTTGGATGTAGTCGGTAAGCTGTTTGCACGGGTTATCCAGGATCGCCTTCAGGAACTGTCCGAGGATGTGCTGCCTGAGTCACAGTGCGGTTTTAGGAAGGGACGTGGGTGCGTCGACATGGTGTTTGTGGCGCGCCAGCTAATCGAGAAGGCCATCGAACATGATACGCCACTGTATGTCATATTTGTCGACCTGAAGAAGGCTTATGACAGCATACCTCGTGAGGCGTTGTGGCTTGTCCTCGGGAAGCTCGGTATTCCACCTACCCTTCTCAGCTTGATTCGGTCCCTACATGTCGGCATGAGGGCTCGGGTTCGTATATCTGGTCGCTTGACGGAGGACATATATGTTAACAATGGTCTTCGCCAAGGCTGTACTCTTGCCCCCACCCTATTCAATCTGTATTTTGCTGCCGTAATGTCGTCTTGGCGTTCCCGCTCTTCTGTTCCCGGCGTGTCCCTGCGCTCACGCCCTGGCCGGAAGCTTGTTGGGGATCGAACAACCAAGGCGCGACTGAACACGTACCAAGTTACCGAGTCCCAGTTCGCTGATGATGCCGCTGTATACACCACATCAAGAGAACATCTGGAGACCCTGGCAAACGAGTTCATCGCCTGTGCCTCTCAGTGGGGTCTCACTGTCAGCATCGCCAAGACAAAGGCCATAGCAGTCGGCCCGGGGGACCTACAACCTGATGTCGTCCTCGATGATGGTGGAGTTGTGGAGATGGTCTCCGGCTTTACTTACCTCGGTAGTGTGGTGAGTTGCGATGGGTCACTGGACGTGGAGATCACCTCCCGCTTGGCCAAGGCATCTCGTGTGTTTGGTTGCCTCCTGACCCCGATTTTCCGGTGCCGGGGTTTATCCATCGACATTAAGTGCACGGTATATCGCGCTTTTGTCCTGAGCACTCTGTTCTACGGTGCAGAGACATGGGCTGTGAAGGCTACCCACGTCCATCGGCTGACCGTCTTCCATCGCTCCTGTATTCGGTCTATCCTCGGTGTATCGCGGATCCAGCAGTGGGAGGACAGGCTCACATCGGCAGAATTGGGCAGGCGATTTGGCATGTCTCTTGACATCTCCGATTTGCTCCGACAGCATCGTCTGCGCTGGCTGGGGCACATTGCCCGTATGGAGGAACACCGCACTCCGCAGCAGATGGTATTTGGCGAGTTATATGCCACTCGCCCCCGCCACGGTCCGAAGAAGCGATGGCGTGACGTTGTTGTCACTGATCTAGCTGCGGCACAGATCGGAGAGGGAGAATGGTTCCATCAAGCCCAGGATCGCCCAACCTGGAAGCGGTTGTGTCGTCAGCAGCCTCCTCCACCCGGACCGAAAGAGTTCCGTTGCGCATGTGGCCGTCCCTTTGGCCGCATTGGGGACCTGAGGAGGCACGCCCCCCACTGCCGCGTCTGAGCCATCATCGCTACGCGATGGGCGTCCAAGGTCCAAGGTGTGTGTGTGTGTGTGTGTGTGTGTGTGTGTGTGTGTGTGTGTGTGTGTGTGTGTGTGTGTGTGTGTGTGTGTGTGTGTGTGTGTGTGTGTGTGTGTGTGTGTGTGTGTGTGTGTGTGTGTGTGTGTGTGTGTGTGTGTGTGTGTGTGTGTGTGTGTGTGTGTGTGTGTGTGTGTGTGTGTGTGTGTGTGTGTGTGTGTGTGTGTGTGTGTGTGTGTGTGTGTGTGTGTGTGTGTGTGTGTGTGTGTGTGTGTGTGTGTGTGTGTGTGTGTGTGTGTGTGTGTGTGTGTGTGTGTGTGTGTGTGTGTGTGTGTGTGTGTGTGTGTGTGTGTGTGTGTGTGTGTGTGTGTGTGTGTGTGTGTGTGTGTGTGTGTGTGTGTGTGTGTGTGTGTGTGTGTGTGTGTGTGTGTGTGTGTGTGTGTGTGTGTGTGTGTGTGTGTGTGTGTGTGTGTGTGTGTGTGTGTGTGTGTGTGTGTGTGTGTGTGTGTGTGTGTGTGCATGTGTGTGTGTGTGTGTGTGTGTGTGTGTGTGTGTGTGTGTGTGTGTGTGTGTGTGTGTGTGTGTGTGTGTGTGTGTGCGTTCACTGGCCAGAAAAAGTCACTTCAATCAGCTGTGTGGTGGATACCAGGCTAAAAATAGTGGCGGCCAATTCATCAGCCTTGCAAGCTGTTGAATGGTGTAATCCCAGCACAAGTTGATATGTCTAACATAGCTGTTCGCTATCATCGCTTCCGCGATGGGCAGGTCTGAGGTCTGAGGTGCGTGCATGTGTGTGTGTGTGTGTGTGTGTGTGTGTGTGTGTGTGTGTGTGTGTGTCCCATATGGTGCAGTGGTATGTGCAGTCGATTTCCAATCGAGAGGTTGCGGGTTCAATTCCCGACGATTATGGTCGCACACGTCTTTCTTCTCTTTCTCGAACTCTTCCTGACTTTTCTTTCATTCTCCTGGGTGGTTACCAACGGCCAGTGTATGCCGGAGTATGTGGTGTGGTGTGTGTGTAGAAAAAGGAGAAAAAAAAGAAAGAAAAAAAGGAAAAAGGAAAAATAGGGATTCACTGGCCAGAAAAAGTCACTTCAATCAGCTGTGTGGTGGATACCAGGCTAAAAATAGTGGCGGTCAATTCATCAGCCTTGCAAGCTGTTGAATGGTGTAATTCCAGCACAAGTTGCTATGTCTAACATAGCTGTTCGCTATCATCGCTTCCGCGATGGGCAGGTCTAAGGTGTGTGTGTGTGTGTGTGTGTGTATGCGTGTGTGTTTGTGTGTGTGTGTTTGTGGAGAGTAACGTAACTAAGGAGCGCTGTTGAAGGGGGGGGGGGAGGTGTGTGTGTGGGGTATGTGAATGTGTTAGTAACTACATCATGATGTACGTTACTTAGTACACGTATGTGTAGTGCAAACTAGAAACAAAAATGCTCTGGATCTGGAGCCATTTGTGCGAAGCCACTCAGCATGAAAACAATTACCAGTATCCCCAAAGGCGGAGCTGTAGGGTAGAAACGGGCTAGAACACACTGTAGGGTAGAAACGGGCTAGAACACACTGTAGGGTAGAAACGGGCTAGAACACACTGTAGGGTAGAAACGGGCTAGAACACAATGTAGGGTAGAAACGGGCTAGAACACACTGTAGGGTAGAAACGGGCTAGAACACACTGTAGGGTAGAAACGGGCTAGAACACAATGTAGGGTAGAAACGGGCTAGAACACACTGTAGGGTAGAAACGGGCTAGAACACAATGACTGTACATTTACATGTACAGTAAAACCTGTGACTAACGACCACCCTGGCATTGGGGCCAGAGAAAGTGGCCTTTAGTTGCAGGTGGTCCTTAATTAGAGGTTTGCACCGTTCAACCATGATATGAATGTGAGACCGTCCGTGCCTGGCAAAGTGGTCTGTAGTACCGGGTTGGTCGCTAGTCACGGTGGTCTTTAGTTACAGGCTTTATGTACATGTACGTCAAACAGTACTGTTCCATCATGTTCATCCGGATCTGCAATATCACGGTCACGGTCCATCACCACACTGACATACTTCATACACCACACTGACATACTTCATACACCACACTGACATACTTCATACACCACACCGACATACTTCATACATCACACTGACTGTGCCCAGCAGTCTCCAGCCACAGTCCTTAGAGTTAGCCACAACGAGATTGTCAATAAAACTGTGAACGCCACCATTTGCCTGTTGCTTTTCAAATGCATAAAACTCTTCTCCTCCATGCGCTCTAAAGCCGACCATTGCTACCCTCGGTAGCCACTGCTCACACCAATAATTCCAAACAACGAAGGGGTCACGGGTAAAATAGTTCCTTCTGACAGCTGCTCCGCCTATCAAAGACTCTTCAGAGAAGATGATACTGGACACTGGATAGTTGATACTTTGTATTTGTATTTGTATTTATGGATTCTCCACAGGCCTTAGCCTAAATCGAGGGAGTCTCCGTCAACAGCTTATGATGATACTGGATACTGGATTGATGATACTGGATACAACCAGATTATAATAATAATACGTTACTTTTATTAGTGGTTGCGACTTCGGCGATGATTTGTTAGAAAAGGGTTTGCTCCCCACACTGGAGCTCGCGCCGCTATATTACGTTATTTGACCACTAAATGGGTTTTGCCGCCGCCATCACGTCCGTACAATGTACAGACATTTCACCTCCATGTAATTGGGCGTGTAGCCCCGTGTGGACTTACCAATTCAAATAAAACATACACAGTACATAGTATGCTGTACACAGTACACAGTACACAGTACAATGTACATACAGCATTACAGCCCTAAATACTAGCTACATGCCACACAGTGACACCTGTCAAGAAGACTTAACGTTTTTCATTCGCTATCATGCATTTTTTCTACAGTCGTAATAAAAATTAATAATGGTTGTCAAGACGACCACTGAAACCAGGACCAAGCGATGCTATTTCCTGTCAAATGACACTTGATAAGGAGACCACCTGGTAACAGAGATCACATTTTTTGAAGGTCCCCTGAGCGGTCGTCTTAGACAGGTTTCACTGCACATACATGTACATAACTACATTGGCAAATACTTACCCGGAAGCAATTGGTGCCGTTCATGATGTTGAAAGGCTTGATGCGAATAAGCCTCATCCCGTGCTGCCTACACTGCTCAACAGCTCCCGTATACGTCAATGAGACCTCGAACACGGACACATTGTAGCCGGCACACTGAGACATGTCAGCTGAAAACGAAAGACGACAGGATAAAGATATCATTCAACTCAACATCCCCGTTCACGTGGCCCTTGGCCGCGGATAATGCCAGCAGAAAACTTGGCAGAATTTAGGACGTTTTTTTCTCAGGGTAAGTTTCATGAGAGAATTCGAGGAAGTGCCCGCCGTAAGGTTTGTACGGTTCTGCCAATTTCACAGCTTTTCGAGCAGAATTGGCCAATTTTCTGAGTACAGTGTTACAGTCAGACCTCGTTTATCCGGCCCTCGTTTATCCGGATCCCTCGCCATCCGGAAGAAAATCGTTGGTTACCGATTTACAGCATATGCCATGCACATATACAGTATGTGTGTTCGATTATCCGGTTCCCTCGCCTATCCGGATATTTTTCTGGAAAACGGATGTGTGCGGCTATGCGAGGTCTGACTGTACACGCAAAGGGCTAATACCAACACGGCGATGCTCACATGTATCCTAGCTTAGCTATCAACAGTTACATGTACATAATAATAATAATATTATGTTTCTAAATCCCCAGTTTTAGTCTGATGAGTAACGAGAAAGATCTTTGGTCTCACACGGAAAGTTGGGTGTGGTCCTCGAAAGAGTGCTCAATGCACCGGGGTGCAGAGCTTCATACAAAACTTTGGTCTCTGTTGTTTCGCCTTGTGTTTCTAAATCGTTGCAAAAGCGCTCACTACATGTACCACGAGGGCAGAGCCAAAGGACACAAGTAGATATAGCAGGACAGCTACAAGTACCGGTAGTATCATCATTGCTGTGTGAAGCCCTGGTGAACGTAGAGAATCGATGTCATGTCCTAGTCATGTTATTACCACTACCCCGTCCCGCGGTTTTCCTTTTTCTTTTCTTTTTCCCCCTCAGCTTCTTCTTCAAGTTTCATAAGCTGCTGACGGAGACTCCCTCGATTTAGGCCATTAAAGGCCTTTGGAGAATCCATAAAATAAATCGTGACAAAATTACCGTGAAGCTCCGTGTTTCAGCCTCGCAACATTGGCAATGCTACCTTGTGTATCCTTAACTCTGAAGAATAGTGTCACATCTCCACTCTCCAGTCACTTTCGGAGGGTCCTTCACATAAACACTATAACCCATAACGGCAACAAGAGGCCAGTCAGTTGTTTGGGGAACGTAGAGGACAGGTAATAGTCTAAGATCATGCCATGATCACAGCTGCATGCTCTCAGTACACGTTTATGGCCTCTTTGCGCTTGGCACGAAAAATGATAGAAAACTCCCTAAACAGGTGGGGGGGGGGGACAAATACACCTCATATTCGACAACTGGCTCACTCTGTCTGAAATAAGGAATTCGGGTGGACATTCCCATAGCGCTGCATATCCGAACCAGTTCCGTTATTTCAAAACGTTTCGGCACTTGGCCCTCATCAGGTAATAGGATCAATGAATTTCGCTCTTTCTTTGACAAGTAATCGCTCTCAGAATCAGAGAACTCATTGATGTACAGTGTACAACTGTACATGCATGTATATTTATTTCAGACATCAGCAGTTCAGTCAGAGCAGCAAGCTGTAGATATTGATGTGCAGGCTGTGTTGTGACCACTGGTGCAGCAGTAAAGATCACCTACCAATATACTCCAGAAAATGGCAGCCAGTCTTGGCTTGCATCCTGTGAGTTTAAGGCTTTTTATAGACTAATTCTTCTCCAACTCCGAAACTCCGGATCTTAACTGCCAACTTTCACACCCCTAGCCTACTGCGGTGGCACGTCGTTGGTTTTGTGAATAAATCCCTTCTGTAGTAGAGTAGAACCCGGGTTAAGGGTCACACCGGATTAGGGATCGGAGCCCGGGGGGTCACTTGGCACGTACATTGTGCGGGTGATCCTTCGGAGCCCGGGGGGGGGGGGGGGGGTCACTTGGCATGTACATTGTGCGGGTGATCCTTATACTGGGATTTAATTTCCGGCCCAAGGGGGTCCCCCGTCGGTTTCCGAGGAAGCCGTAACTTTTTTCGCTTCAAACTATTTTCCGAGGTCCCTCTACTCACAAGAAGTCGTTTTGCACACCGTTTTGCCCATCCCTGTACAACTGAGTCCAGCTTTGTCCGCGCAGAGTTAGGTGGATCCTTAACCCGGGTTCTACTCTAGTACCTTTTTTGGGGGAAACCGCAAATTGTCATGCAGAATGCCACAAAACCCAAGCGGGATAAAAAATAACTACCAACATCCAGTAATATACCGTATTTCCGCAAATAAAAGGCCGTCCTCGTATACAACGCCTTTCTCGTATACAAGGCCGGCCGGGGCAGGGGGCGATTGAAAATAAAAGACCATCTCCGATTAGAAGACCGGGCCTACTAAATGAGTCTTTGTTCTTGTGTTAAAAATAGAAGACCGTGCTCAAACTGTGTAGAAGAAAATGGAAGAACGGGGGTAAAACTGTGTGGCGAGAAATAGAAGACCGGGGTCAAACTGGGTTGAAAGAATAAAAGACCGTCCTCGAATACAAGACCGTCCTCGATTATAAGGCCGGGTTAGGACGAGGTTGAAAAATAGTAGACCGGCCTACTATTTGTGGAAATACGGTAACCGGTATAAATTATTAGTGCAATAAAGAGTATAATAGATGCAGACATGGCCAGACAACAACGAGTTCATGGAATTTTAAAGGATTTTTATGTTATTCAAAATCGATTTTCGTGTTCCGCTCATCAGTGAATAGTATCGGAACTGAGGGTACTGTGTACAGAAAGAGAACATTTTATGACAGCATAAATTATTCCAGGCCAATCTGCTATTATTTTCACCCCTTCTCTTTATCTACATGTATATAGATAAACCGAGTCTGACGCGAACCATGACATTTTTTTCTTTCTCCGGACCTGTACTAGTTCTGCTTGACACTTACGAGCAGCACCGCTTGTGGCACTCTGACATTGCGCCACCATCGCCATGGCAACCAGCATCAGTACCAGTGGCATCATATGTGCGTGCACAGCAGAAGCGCTTGAACACATGTTGTCTTGCCCGCTGAAAGAAGCAAGGAAACATGAAAGGAAACAGGCCGATCGGGACAGAAATGTCAAACACGCCTTTACAGTGGTAGTGTTAGTGGACATTATAGCGCAACTTGTAGTTCCTTGGTCCCTTTTCTTTTCTAATTGAAGTATACGTTATCCTTGGCTCTCCACCAAAGTCCCAACAATCAGTACCATGACCATTACCTGTACTTCTGCTGACAGCAACTGATTCATTGGAACACGTTAACTCCTTTTTTTCTTTCCTTTTTTCTGAGATGTTTCTCGAATATCTGATGAGGAAATAATTATAGTACGTACATGTACATGTTTAGCCTTGGCCCAGCTTGGGGGAATCCAGTTCTAAATAAAGATGTCATTCGACTCAAATTCTGACAATGTGGTACGCAGATAATGGTGCTTTTATGAAGCCAATCATGCGTGCAACTCTGGTGCTGCTTAAGTTGTGGAACGCCGTGCCCCCTCTTTAGTCCCCCTGAAAGTAGTCTGCTGTGGTGCCACTGTAATGACACTAAACTGGGATACTGCAGTGCTAGTGGTGCCGAAAGTTTGCAATTACATGTACATATATTTTCCCCGAGGAATTTTCCATGTGATTTGCAATTTCTGTCCACGTTATACAAAAGGGACAGTTTAAAATCAGAGTACAGTGAAAAAGTACTTCTTCCGTCCGTAATAAGGTTTCCAACAGCAACGAGGCTTGAAAAGAAAGGAGGTTATCAACTGACAGCCACTCTACTTAGTTGGTACATACATTTTTATTTGAATTCGCAGAACCAAACGGGCGGTGTCGCCCAATTACATGGAAGCGAATTACAAACTCGATGCGGTGAATCACCTATCGTCAGAATATCGTTACGTATGACCATGGGTGAGTGGTTCGAAACGTCATAGTGCTTCTAGCCAATGAAGCCATTTTTCCAGTAACTCAGCGCATTGAATTAGTACTGATTGGCAACTGAATAGAGTTCAAATAATGCAGTTCAGTGAAGTCATAAAGACGTACATGTAGGTTTTAGCGATAGAAAGTGTTTGGGTGGACACACCCATTCCCAAAGCACTGCAAAGGACGGAACCAATTCTTTTACGTACAATGTCTGCTCAATGTCTGCTCAATCTGCGGATAGAACTGTTTCGTACAATGTCCATAAATTTAAAGCTGCCCTCAGGAAATTTACAGCTAACCATGCCTTATGCAATCAACGGAATTCCGTCACCTTGCAGTTGATCTTCCCCGTTTCTCTCCTCATCAAGCCCTACCTGTCTGTGTACATACATGACTGTACTAGTAGTGTTCTTTCAATCAAATGAACCCTTCCATCTCAAGGTCCCTGGTTCAATCCCGGGTTTCGGCTAGGCCTTGACAGATTATGCTATAATTTTTCGCATAATTCCTACCAAATTCGAACAATCGCATAATTCGAGGCAAATTGCATACGAATCGCATAAATAATTGGAATAATCCGCCTGTTTGCATCAAATTCCATACAGTTGTACATGTTCTACAAGTACAAGTACAAGTAGATGCACCACGAAGTCGTAGGTTTACGACTCCCTTGATAACGCTGTCCAGTCCACTACAATCAGTGACGGTCGTAGCTAGGTCGGACGGTGCGTTGACCCCGTTGAACTTTTGCTACTACAGTTCAACGCCCTCTACAAAAAACTCCCCTGTTTTTTTTGCACAGAACCATCATACATTAGCAGCATATGTGAGCATAATGCGGCATAATAATATGATAACTTTTAGCATAAAAATAGCATAACTCTGCAATTTTTCAGCAATGCCAAAAGCATAATTTCACGAAAATATTAGCATAATCTGTCAAGGCCTAGTTTCGGCACCAGTTTGTCGTCGTTGTCATCGCATCGACAAGAGTTTTGTTTTGTCTTTTATAAGGTTTTATTGTTGCTATTGATGTAGCTCTGAGCTACTGATTAGAGCAGAAAAAAACTGGTCTCTACTCTAAGAAGAGACATGAAGAAGACTAGCGAAAAGGTGCCTTGTAGAGCAACAAAAGTCGGCAAGTAGTTCTTGCTGGGAACGACGCTACATTCGGATCACTGGATCCATACTTGCCTAACTAGGCTCACGCGATTCCTCAGGCAGGGAGTCAGGGGTCAGCGCGGAGGCACAAAATAGGCATGCGTGTACAGCCAGAAACGGACGTGTGTACACATAGGAGAGCAAGGGAAGCGCAACGCGAGCTGTAGCAGCCAGAAACGGATACATGCGCAGAAAGGGGAGCACACCGCGACATGCACGGCAGCCAGAAATGGGTACATGCATACAACCAAGAGTCCATAAACTGTTTATGCACTCTTGGTACAACGGAGAGCAAGGGGATATGGAGCACACTGCGACAATAATGCCGACATGCACGGCAGCCAGAAACGGGTACATGCATACAACGGAGAGCAAGTAGAGCATACTGCGACATGCACGACAGCCAGAAACGGGTACATGCATACAAAAGGGAGTCGCTTGGTGCCAAAAAGGGGGCACATAAATGATCACGACTGATTATTATTATTATTATTATTAAATTTTTGATAGGGCAGTCCCCACAGGCCTAAGGCCTTCTTACAGGGTACCCTAAATGTGCCAATACAAGGTAACGGAAGCGAGAAACAGATGTGCAAAGGCGAATGTCAGCAGGTAGAGAGTTCCAACGATCTGAGCCTAGAAAACTAAGACTGATGTTCGTGACATGTTGCCTTTGGGTCATTTTCTTTTAATTAAAGAATAATAAAGAATTGGTGTGGTCCTTTGCAGTGCGTTGGGGATGGGTGTGTCAACCCAACTATTTTCTACAGATGAAACTGCAAGATGCCTCAAAGTTAATTCTCACTAGGTTTGAACCAATTACCATTGAAACGTATTGTGCCAATACTGGTTGTACACGACGCCAATGCTTTTGGAGAATCCGTTAAATAAATACACAACAACAACAACAACAACAAACTCGGATGTTGAGCCAATAGTAATTATGAAAGAGAAAAGGACCTATATGTTACTACGCGTACACGTATTATAACTAACAGTCCAGTCGCACTATCTGACTGTATAATATATCTCGTTACCTTGGTGGACTGTTAGTCATAACTAGGAACTAACTTATAGGTCTTTTTCTCTTAACAAACAATAACAAACTGGCTAGAATTCGTATCTTGTTTGCGGAGCTTTATTTTGTTTCACCATAGGCACAGGAAATATCTACCTTCTAGCTGGGCTGCAGCACCACAGTCCCCACATGAAGACATTGATAAGAACGAGCGTTTCGGAGATACATGTAGCAACTTTAGCATCGCAACCAAGAGGACAAACTGTGCGGTAACCACTATTTATTGACGATGCATAACTAAACTGAAGACTCGGGTGTTGAAGTTACTATCTGACTGTCCTAATAATATTATTACCTCGTTACCTTGGTGGACTGTTAGTCATAACTAGTAACTTATAGGTCCTTTCTCTTTACATGACTAAACTACATGTGAGATATACATGTACATGTGCAAGGAAAAATGTTTATAAGGGAGAAAGGAATTTCTTACCTTTTACCGCAATGGGTGGGTATCTTTGTTGTCTTCTTTGCCGCTTCTGCCTGTTGTAGTGCCGTATTTGCAATCGCGCAACCAACAAGGCAAAGCTATCCCGAGACGACTTCAGAGAAACGAAGGTGAACGAGAAGATCGGAGAACCAAAATTGGTGTCCTTGAGGAGATCCGAGAGCAAGGGGAACTGTAGCCGTTGTGTGGGAGGTTTCTCCAATTTATGGTTGGTGTTTAATGCAGTCGCGATACCACTAATATAAACGAGATCTGCTATAACTGGCGATCCGCAACGCGGTCCCTACCATTTCCTGTCTTAGATCTCTATAATTTGTAGCCGTGTGTCGAGGAATGCCTAGCTTTGGGTCCCCTCGCGCCCAGGTGCATGATCACTAGCTTCAACCAAATTTGATCCCTTCCCACTTTCGCTTGCTGAGAAAGGATCGTTGCTCATCCCTAATTCGGCACATACGTGTGTGCAGCATCCCTAGGCCCTCACGCAAGGAGCATACCGTTTACGGCACTGTTCGGGAAAAGCTTACTGTTCTGTACAGTATAGTACACATTCGATGGGGCGCGATGGGACGCGACTGGAACCGACGGCACGCCGATTGACGTAACGGCGTCCAATGCGGACACCATTGACCAAGAACGAGAACGCAACCGTACGACTCGTACGACTACCGCACCAATCGGGAAGCTACGGAAGAGCTAAACATGCAATAATAATTATGGTCAACTTGTTTGTTTGTTTGTTTAGCTTTATTGTATTTCACCAGAAGCACAGGCAAAATCTGCCTTCTCACTGGGCGTATTGCCACAGTTCTCGCAAAATGATGAAGGTGGTGATATAAGAAAAGGAGGAAGGGGAAAATACAATCATGAACGCAGCGCAAAGAGAAGACGGAAACAAATCAATGAGGGAGTACTACAAGTAACGAATTGGAATTTGATGAATTTTTCATGAAAATATTGCAACGGATGCAAAGGTTCCAGGGTTGAGGGAATGTTGACAGTTATGCGCCTTTGAGATCTTAGGAGAGGGTAAGAGAGTTTAAGATATCGTTTGTAATTGCTTTCTTAAATGCAGAAGGAATTGTGATGGAGCAGACATCAGGCGGCAGGCAGTTCCAGACTACACACTACCAATGAACTGAACAGTGGATCGACCGGAATGACCCGGCAAAAACGGGACACGAAGCAGACGTGAAGCCTGACCACGCATGGCACGACCATTGACTAAAATCATGAAAGAAACTTGTCACACCGTATGCGGCGGCGACGCGAGCATACAAAACGGCTGGATTTCGCGAGTGAACGGGAGACGTACATGTAGACGGCGCCATTCGATGTGCGCAACTGCAACTCTGCAAATTAATTCTGCATGACGAACACTACAGCAATGCTTCCCTAGACTAGAGAGCTCACGGAATGACTCTAGTGCCTGAAGTTGGGTGCATGTTGAGGAGACCATTACTGGCAATAGTTTACATGTTGTCCATAGTGTATCATCCAACACAGACAGTTATCAGCAAAGTCAGAGCGTGCCACAATTAGCGCAATAGTATTTTAGTTAAAGTGTAATCAATAAGAATGGACCAAAGATTGAAATGTTGTCCGTAGTTTGTCCAACACTGGCAATTATAAGCTTTGTATTGATGAGTTACAATTATTAACGTACAACAGTTAGCACAATAATGACTGCTGCGGTACTGACATTCAACGACCTGACATTTAGCTCCATCAAGTCTTGAATGCGCACGCCAACAGCCTTCCAACTAACTTGGAAGGTTCCTTTAAAAAAATAGTTTTTTAAAAGATATACTTCCTCCGGAAACAAAAACTTCGTGACTTTTTTCACTACTTTTCGGTGCTGTTATTTCGTTCTTTCTCTCTGGTTCTGTCAGCCTGAAACACTGACATGACATTTCGGAATCGCAGGAAAGCAGGATTCATAATTATTCGGAAGAGCCACAGTCGTCGCAGAGCAAGGGTGTAGACGCTGTAAACAATGCTATAAAGCGAACATGTTTTCACTTTTGTCCACCAGACGCAATGCGAAGAAAAGCACTGCGCTCACTGCTCGTCGCTGTTGTTTTTTTAGTTGAGAACTTAACAGAGCAGGACAATGGCACTGAGGAGCAAGAAGAGTGGAAAATGAATAGCAATAGCAGGTAGCGCTTTGAAATCTTCGCCATCCCCGAACCGCCAGTCTGCATGCGAACAGTTCCGCAATATGTGAAAACTCCAAAACGCAGAGATGTGACAATCGTCACTTCGCGCACCAGAGCAAGATGACCAAGTTCAAAATAGAAGTCGTTCAGCCACCGCAGAGCACAGACCTCAACGTTGATGATCTCGCCTTTTCCAGCAGCCTCGACGATGTGTCCTAGGTCACAAAGGAGAACAGGCGAGATCTAAACGCGGCAGTCGGGAAGTGCTGGTACGACTATGATATCCCTCGGAGGAAATTTGAAATGTTTGGCTTTGCCTGTGTTAAAAATTGTTGTTCCGGGGCATCCTGGAGCGAGAGAGGAGGCGGTAATGAGTACCAACGCTGCAGCACTACCGTGGTCTCTGCCGAGATGTTGGAGAAGGCATTCAGGTGCATTTCAATTTAGTGAAAACTTCTAGCTGTTATAACTTGGGTATGGCTGCTCCGGTCAACCTGCGACCATCGTAATCAGTGCATTTTTCGCTACAAGTTTCAGCAATCTTGGGTAGATAAATAAAGATGAGCTCCGAACGTAATTTTAAAACCGCAACCAATAAGACGAGCCGAATCAACATGTGCATACCGTATTCGTGCAGTGTAAAACGATGGAAACAATGTGCAAAAACGATCCAGATTTGCTCTACGGGTCCGTGGCGTTCTCTGGGTGCCTTCGACACGACCAGCGGTCACGCCTTCAAGTCCAGCAAAACCGTGCGGCACGCGCCGTATTCGGCCTGCCACCTCGCACAAGCGCCCAACCTCTGCTTGCTCGTCTGCAGCTGTATGCACAGTATGGCATCGAAGAGTTCCACAAGCAAAAGACCCTTTTTTTGGCCTTATTTTGATCTGGCGTTGCTCGAATGGTCGGGCAAGCAATGCACTGCAAGCCCTTCTAATTCTGGAGCATCCCAGTACTCGAACAACGCGCGCGCAACGCAGCTTGGGCCTTCGAGTGCCCAAATCTGCCTCCAAAGCCGGCCACGACCGTCCAACCGCTCGCGGGTCCATTTTATGGAACACCCTGCCATCCGACGTGCGTGGTATTACCCAGTACCACCAGTTCAAACAAGCCTGCCTCCCGTTCTGTCTTGCTAGCAGTAGCACCCACTGCTGAACACTACAGGAATCTTTGAACGTTTGCGGTACTCCACAGTACCAGTCATGTGCCGTTTACCGCCTCCCCGTTGTTGTATTCTAACGTTAACGTTATTCATTGACTGAGCGTTCTTTGCTTTGTACTACACCCTGCTATCATGTTAGGCTATTTCCTACAATATTTTACTGTTTCCATTCGCTTCCATGTAATGAAAGAGAGGAAGGCAAGCGCAACGAAAACGAGCACAAGCTACAGTCCCAACGGAACAAAGAATGTCGATTGTCACTGGACGATGACGAGACCAGTAGGCGATTTGACAAAGCGGTCTAACTACAATTCGAAGCAGCAAAGCAGCACACCACCCAACTTGGGTGGGTCAAACCTTCCCCTCTTTGGTCTTTCCATAACCTTGAACCTTCCAAGTTGGAAGGCTGTCGGTTAGCGCTACGGAGATGTGTTGAAGCTAGGTGTCAGGACGTCGAATGTCTCAGTACTCTGTCAGTTTTGTGCCTAGTTGTTGCACTTTCTGACTGTATATAGTATCTAGTTACAGTGGTGGAGAGGTACTCTTAACTCGTTTCCATATGTCCTTTTCCTTTCTACATTTTATTATTGGCTCAATACCCGAGTTTCAAATTATTATTATTATTATTATTTGAAACTTGGATGTTGAGCCATAAATAAATGTGGAAGAGAAAAAGACATATGGATACGAGTTAAGAGTAACTCTCCATCACTGTAACATGATACTATATACAGTCAGAAAGTGCAATAACTAGGCACAAAACTGACAGAGTACTGAAACATTCGACGTCCTGACACCTAGCTTCAACACATCTCCGTAGCGCTAACCGACAGCCTTCCAACTTGGAAGGTTCAAGGTTATGGAAAAGACCAAAGAGGGGAAGGCAAGCGCAACGAAAACGAGCAAAAGCTACAGTCCCCACGGAACAAAGAATGTCGATTGTTACTGGACGATGACGAGACCAGTACGATATTTGACAAAGCGGTCTAACTACAATTCGAAGCAGCAAAGCAGCACACCACCCAACTTGGGTGGGTCATAAATATCAAAGATAAGTAAAGAAAGGGAAGCTTTGCGAAAACGAATTGTACAAGCCGAAAGCCAAACTCCTACAGTACTCCTCATGCATGACATTGTGATGGACTAGTTGACTACAAAACAAGTTGTTTCACACGACCAGTAACACGTCCAGTAACACGTCCAGTAACACACGTCCAGTAACAATCGACATTCTTTGTTCCGTGGGGACTGTAGCTTTTGCTCATCATAATAATATATAGAGTTTCATAGTGGATAATATCGGGAAATCCCTTTTTTGGCAACAATCGGCTGCAGTCATGAGATCCAACCCTCATCGTGTCTGAAATGCGTCCAGCTAGCTGGAATGCATTGTACCGGTATACCGGTCCATGACTTGGTGGACACGCAACACTTTTAGTTTTACAACCTTGTCCGCTATAATGTAGCAATGTAGTCAGGTCCGTAAACATGGTAAATAGTACTACTCGATCAGGCACAGTCATGTACATGTAATTTGTAATTTGTAATTTTGACCAACGCATATGGCCGATTGGTTTGCAGGCCTGCCTGCGAATCATGAGGTCCCGAGTTCGAGACCCGCGCTGGTAGCAGGGAGCGTGTAAAGACTTTTTACGTGAGTGAAGACTTTTTATGCGTGGTGAACTGCGCCGACACCCACGGTCAACTGGGTACTCACAGCTCGGAGTGAGGGTAACAAGGATGCAGTTTACAGGGTTATGGGCCGTTACACGCCCGATTGGTTGAGAGACTCACCTACTCTCCCCTGACTCACTTGTGAGGTCTGCATTCGCCACTAAGGTGTGCAAGGCATAGGCATAGTGGTGGCCTGCGGAAGCGAAGGCTAGTTTGTGTGTTTCTGAACATTCAA